CAGGAGAGTTGCCAACAGAAATAGCAACGTCGTTAACACAAGTTCTTCAGAATAGGCATACGGAACATCCGATGTTGACAAATAAAGATGTTGATCAATATGCTGACAGATTAGGGTCAAGACAACCGGTTCATGAGCGGTTAGGTCCACGTACATTCCAAGGGTTTGGAAAGGATAGATTTGATTCGATGACGGTTAAAGATAGGTTGTCGTGGCTAGATCGTAGTTAGGGAGTTAGCTTTGGGAGATCTGCCCAACCATTTGTGCCGCCTATGAATAGTGCAATGACTATGTTGGTAATTCCCAGTCAGGTTTCTGACAACTTGTGGCATAGAGTAGAACATCCCAGATTTCCAACTCCGGTGTCAGCAAGTAGTGGCATGACTCGGACTCAGCGTCGAAGGTGGCAGCGCCAACGGGCATGAAGTTATCAGGATTCAAAGCAGAAGAGGGAATTCGAGCAGTCACCTTATGGTGCACCTAGTAAGCAGGCTCGAGTAACCAAACAGTGGCGAGTCAAGGAGCAGGATAGTGTGTATGTTAACATGGTGTATGTAATCCCCAAGGAGTATGCTACTAGACAAGCTATGGCGGAACTTTTAAAAATAAAGGTTGATGAGTCAGGAGAAACACCAATGCCGAAAGCTAATCAACAGTCAAAAGAAGTGCTGGGAATAAGGGTAACAACTGACGGAGAGTCGCCAGCAGTGGTTATCTCTATGCCAGAGTCGATGTCTACCAGCCATTTAAAGCCGTTGTATGTCCAGGCTATATTAAATGTTGTTCCTATTAATAGGATATTAGTTGATAATGGTGTGGCTGTAAATATTATGCCCACTTCTACATTGAAGGTTGGGGAAACAAGAATTGGATATGGTTCCTACTGAGATTGCGGTCAGTGGTTTCGTCGGAGATGTAACAAGTACTCGGGGAATACTGGCAGTTAAAGTTGAGTTTGGCTCTCAGGCAGTCATATCGATCTTCTTCATAGTGGATACTACAGGGTCTTATAACGCTCTGTTAGGCCGTGACTGGATTCATTCGGTCAAATGTGTCCCTTCATCTTTTCATCAAGCTTTGGTGATTTGGGGGACAAATGGACCGGAAGTGATAAAGGCCTATGCTGAACCATTCATGGTACAAAGCATTGCGGTTGAGGCGTTTTATTATGAAAAAGACGTTGGTCCATGTAGGTTGCTTGGAATTGATAAGTATGGTAAGCCTATGACCGCAACGCCTATGAAGAATGTAGGGATCAGAGAATGAAAGATGTTTTTGCAAGAGATCCGCAGGCACACCAATATTTGGCACCTAAGCCGCATGATGCTGGACAAATTATAGAAGAAGTTTTCGATGATGATAAATGATTCAATAATTGATTGGTTGGAATCGTTGGTATTATGTACAGTGGATGCTGTCTGTGAAGATGAACTTGCGGTTGAATCTGATAGTATTGAGTTGTCAGAATTAGCAAAAGCAAGTAGTAAATTTGAGGATGATGCCGTGGTGACAAAAGAGCCAATTGAATCTGTGAATTTAGGAATTGGTGAAGAGCAAAAGCCAACATTCATAAGTGGAATACTTTCTGACGACCAGAAAGAGGCCTTGATAAAAGTATTGATGGAATATCGGGATTGTTTTGCTTGGAATTACACCGAAATGCCAGGATTGGATCGTAGCTTGATTAAGCACACGATTCCCACGAAGGAGGAATTCAAGCTGAAACAATAGGCACCGTGAAGGTTTTCAGATGAGGTAACCGCTAAAATCAAGGAAGAAATTCTAAGGTTATTGGTGGTTGGGTTTATAAAGGTGGCAGTTTATCCGAACTGGCTGGCAAACGTGGTCCCGGTAATTAAGAAGAATGGTAAGACCAGGGTTTGTGTTGATTTCCGTGATTTGAATCTAGCATCTCCTAAGGATAAGTATCATATACCGATTGTGGAACTGTTGATCAACCAATTAGTAGGGTATCGGTTTAGAAGTTTTGTACACAGGAATGCTGGTTACAATCAGATTTACATTGCTGAGAAAGATGTTCCAAAAACAGCATTTCGATGCCCAGGGGCGTCAGGGATTTATCAATGGAGAGTAATGCCATTCGGGTTGAAGAATGCTGCAACAACATATCAAAGGGCCATAAATTGTTTTTTCCATGATATGATCGGAAGTATGGTGGAGGTATATATATTGATGATGTGGTGATAAAATCTCATACTTTCGAAGAACACCTGGATCAGTTGGCCCAAGCATTTGCCCGAATGAGGAAGTATAAGTTGAAATTGAATTAAAGTGTGCGTTTGGCGTAACTTCTGAAAACTTATTGGGATTCTTAGTTCAGGAGAAAGGAATAGAAGTTGATGCTGAGAAGGCTGAGGCTATTATAGGCGCTAGGCCACCAAGAAATAAGAAAGAATTGCAAAGTTTGATTGGCAAAATAAATTTCTTGAGACGGTTTATAGCAAATTTGTCTGGGACGATCAAGGTGTTTTCACCATTGTTGAAATCCAATAATACTGGTGAGTTTGTTTGGGGGAAAGCACAACATGAAGCCTTTGATCGATAAAGAAATATTTTGTAAATCCACTTGTAATGACGTCACCACAAGGGGGACGGCCGTTGAAGTTGTATATATCGGCCACAGAGGATTCTATTGGTTGATTCTTGGTTCAAGATGGTGAAGACGGATTAGAAAGAACAGTTTATTACTTGAGTCGATTGTTGAATGACGCCGAAAGACGGTATCCACCCATAGAGAAGTTATGTTTGGCTTTGTATCATGCTGCTGTAAAATTAAGGCATTATATGCTACCAGTTACTGTGTACATAATTAGTAAGGTAAATCTGGTTAGGTACATGTTGTATCGGCCGATCATGGCCGTTTAGGGAAGTGGGCGTTAGCATTAATGGAATATCAATTTCAACATGTACCACAATCGGTGGTTAAAGGTCAGGCGTTGGCAGATTTCTTGGCAGAATATCCATCGTTGGATCAGGATTGGTCTGAAAAAGAGGTAAAATCTTATGAGATTATGGCTTTGGAAGAGAGACCATGGGAGTTGTATTTTGATGGATCTACCACCTTTATGAGAAGTAGAGCTGGGATTACGATGCTATCTCCGAATGGTGCAACAATGAGGGTACAGGTCATATTAGGGTTCAAGTGCACCAATAATCAAGCAGAGTATGAAGACATCATTTATGGTTTGGAAACTTTGCTATTCAATAAGGTGAGGAGTGCAAAAATAATTGGATATTCATGGTTGATTATTCAACAAGCTGCAAATAAATGCCGGTGTAGATGATACTTTGTTTAAGTATTGGGAGTTTGCGGAAAGGCTCAAGGAACGTTTTGATTATATCGAGTTTGAATATCGGCCTAGAGAATGTATCCAAGACGCTAATTGTATGGCGCAAGTTGCTTTGAATTATTGGCCAATAGAAGACCATTCCATGTCTTTCTTTATTGTGGATTTGGATCGACCAGCATATGAAGATTTGGTGGTGGTTGTAAATAATATAAGCATGGAATCAGATTGGAGGGCCCCGTTGATCGAGTGTTTGGCTTTTCCAGAAAGAAAGGTTGATTCAAAGCTCTGGAAACAGTCGATTAATTATTTGCTTGTTGATGGAGTACTATACAAGAAGACGGAGGATGAGGTATTATTGAAGTTTGTTAGCAAGTTAGAGGCATTCTTAATTATGTTGGAAGTACATGAAGGAGTTTGTAGTGCTCACCAAGGTGGAAGGAAGATGTCTTGGCTGATTCGGAGATACGGGTATTTTTGGCCAAGTATAACTAAAGATTGTATAGAATTTGCTCAAGGGTGTAAGGAGTGTCAGAAGAATGGGTATGTTCAGAAAATGCACCCTGAACCGATGCAAATTATAGTAAAACCATGGCCGTTCAGGTGTTGGGCAATGGATTTGATTGGGATGATTTATCCTCCTTCAAGTGAAGGTCATAAAAATGTTATAGTGGCTACTGATTACTTCACTAAATGGGTAGAAGCAATTCTTATAAAGGAGGCCAATCATAAAACTGTAATTAAGTTTGTAAAAGAATATATCATTTACAGATTTGGAGTTCCAGAAACTATAGTTACTCTTCAGGCCCAATACTTTGTTGGAAAGGACATGGTGGAATTTGCTAAGGAAATCGGTTTGCCGTTTACACATTCTTATCCGTATTTTGCACAAGGGAATGGACAAGCTGAGGCATCAAACAAGATTTTCAAAGAGATTGTGCAAAAGTCTATAGATGAAAATCCAAGGAGTTGGCATGAATTAGTTCCCCGAGTTTTATGGGCTTATTGGACAACTAAGCGTGGTGGAACTGGAACTACTCCTTATGAGTTGATTTATGGACAGGATGCAGTGTTACCAGGTGAGCAGTTGGTCAAATCGGTAAGGATAGCTGAGCAGTTTCCTATCGATTTAGAGGAGTATCGGTTGGCAATCCATGAACAGCATGAGAAGTTATTAGAAACAAGGAGACAGGCTGTTCCACATATTCAATTGCAAAAGGAAAAAGTATTCAAACAGTACCAGAGGAATACAAGGCAGAAAGTGTTTGAGCTTGGCGATAAAGTCTGGAAAGCAGTCTTGCCAATTGGACAAAAAGATCACAGTTTGGGTAAATGGTCACATACGTGGGAAGGTCCATTTATCATACATCGGAGTTTAGGCAAAAGAGTTTACAGGCTTAAATCGCTGATAGGGGAAGTTCATGCTAAAACAATTAATGCTGTGTTTCTAAAGAAGTATCATACTAAGTATGGGATCAATTAAGTGCAGCAGATCAGCAGATAGCTAAAGAATTAGCGTAACAAAGATATGCATACAGAAGCAGTTTTATTCAAAAGGAAAAGAAAACCATCGAGAAATGAAAAGAAATATTCCTAGCAAAATGCACGTTGGCCAACAAAATCAAAAGATATAAATTGTTTCAAGACCCACGCAGGAGCCGATGGTAAGAGCAATTGTTCAGAAGAAGGGATTTACTCACCCTTCGATTCACCAGAATGTTCTGGAATGGATCCTGCACCGGCATCGATCATCAGTTGTTTCAGAGCGGCCACCACTTTTCCCCATGCTGAGTGAGTATCCATCAACTTGGCACCAGCTTGGTCATACAGCGGCCTGGCAGATTCGGCTTTATAGTGCCATTCTTCAACCTGGTTAAGGGCATTGGCAGCCTGATCAAACAGTGGGATTAGCTCTTGGTTCTTGGTTGCAATCTAATCTTTGATCTATTGAAGTTTTTTTTTTATTTTATCATATTGGGTAGTGAAAATTTGGCCAACTGGGGTGCCGAGTATCTTTTTGGACAGCTCAGTTGTAGAAGCACCGGCAAGGGGATTCATTGAAGCTCGGGGGCAACTATTTTGAGACTTACCAGCCTGGCTCGGAGTGCAGCTGACGATAGCAGGTTGGAGCTTGGAGACCCAGTCTGATTGTTGAAGCTGACGGAGTAGGAGTAGATAATATAGGTGGAAGCTGAAGAGCAACTATGCCCGCATCTGATTTCTGTTTTTTCTGAGTGTCAGCAGGAGGACTTTGTGACAGTCGGCATTTTCTGATAAGAGGGACTTCTTCTTCTTCATCTTCGCCGATTTGTTTCCCTTGGGCTTCTTCTTCTTTATGCTCTTCCTCATCCAGGAATAGGATGTCTTCATCGACTGGTCCTTTTCCCTGTTATCAGACAAAGAGAGGGGTAAGTGCACTGTTTGGTGAAAAAAAACTGTAGATCCAAACAAGGATATTTTTTTGCGATCAGGGAAGAAGGTTACTCTATGATGTACAATAGCCGTTTGCCTGGTGCTCTGGGACCTGGATGATAGCCTTGTGGATTGTCTTGTTGCAGCAAGGGGATTCTTAGGAAACTGTGTCTGATCTTTGCGAAAAGCTTTCTCCTTTACTGGATCTACAGTCATCAAAATTAATAAATAAGTAAAGAGGGAAGATTACAGAATAACTAATGGGAGGCAGTAAAAAGAAATATTACCATCATCTGTCAGAGGAGCTACACTTTTGGAGACAATCGGGATGACCATGTTGGTTATAGTGAGCTATTGTCTGAAGTCAGCGGGGGTGCCTGGCATAATAATCCTGAATGTTTGCTGCCACCACAGTCTGAAAAGCTGCTGTACAAATTGGTCTTAGGGTGAACGGTACAATGGACGCATCTTGCATCTGCAGATTCATGAGATTGACCCGATCGACAATCGTAGATGGAGGAATATGAAACCTGCCGATCCTCCAGTTGTTCCAGCAATTGAATTCAAAGCTTGGGATGATTTGCATCAGGCCAAACTGTCGGGTCACCATGTTGGCTGGGTAGAATTCGGCAAAAGTCTCCATGGTTCTCTTTTTGCCGCCAGCTTCTTGTGACAGAAACCCAAAGTGCAGATCACGGGTGGCCAGAAAGTACCCCCAGATTGCTCTCATGCCAGTAGTACCGGATTCATCCCAGTGGCCAAATCGGGCCTCAGCCTCATAAATCAGTCCAAACATGGGGGGTAACAGTCAACATCAAGCAATCGATGGACAACAGAAATATCTGGTTCAACCTCTAGAAAGATGGCTACAACGTCATCAATAGACATTTTGTTTTCTTCAAAAGAGGTCATGTTTTTACACAAAAGTTGGTCAGGTCCTGCTATTTCTGAACAATCAGATCTAAAAGCTTGGAAGTACATTTCAATCCATATAATTAACAACCACAAGGGACCACTTAAGGTACGTTCAGGATGTTGTCTAAGTTCAAACATGCTTCTATAGAATCTACCCAATAAAGCCGATGCAAGGTCGATTTTCTTACCGGTTGCAAGTACATAGGCTAAGTGATAGAAATTCATAGCCATCTGTAAAGATTTGGAACAGAACACATACTGATTGAGCCAGAAGGCTAAGAAAGTCCTGTGTTGGGTAGCTGAGTCAGTATCTCGAACCGAATCCATTATCCGGCCGAATTGGTTTTCTTAATTGGCTGCAAAGCTGCTGCATCTGGATGCTCCAAATTAACGTCAACTGCCATAGGGACCGCCGGCGGCAGCCCAGTAATGACACAGACATCTAGGAGGGTCGGTGTCAGCATTCCCCATGCAAGGCAGAGAAAGTTGGAGGTGGTTGACCAAAAGCGGGCAGCGGCACTAAACACCGACGGATCAAAGGGAACCCAGTGTCTCCCCAGACTTGACCGAGTTTCGGTTCCAAATACTCGCACCAGTTTACCCAACCAGGGTGGATTTTGATTTCTTAGGACCAAGGCCAACTGAGGTGACTCTGAACACTCTGGCAGTTACCGGGGTTGACGAATTGGTGATGAGGGCTTGGGGGGTGACATATCGGAACATGCCGGAAGAGCACCAGTGGAGTAGTGTCGAAACCCGGCCCTAGACGATAGAACTGAATTTTCTCATTTACTGGAGACATCGTATCCGGGTAATTAGGCACCACTGATGGGACCTCAGATTCGCGGATAGCCCGTTTCTTGGCAAGAACAACAAAGTAGTCCCTTGTGGCAGCCATGGGAATGGTGAACAGGGAGTCGCCGGAGAAAAGGGGTGGAGAAATTAAGAAGGCAAAGAGAGAAAGGAGATTGAGAGAATCGATGAGAATGATGGTGTTTGGAGAGAAGAGGAAACAACGTATTAATAGCACCTCGAGGAATGGATCAACAAACTGATATTTTCAAATCAATAAAAGATTTGGGTGACATTAAAATCCCACTTCTTTGGGGATTGGGATATCAGCCATTAATGGAAGGCACGTCTTTCAGTAAGGGAAGGATTCTATGTTTGAATTTCTCCGGGAAGATTAGAAAACTTGTTCAGTACATTTCACAATTTTTTTCGGTGGGCATTATATTGGGCCAGTTTTTTCGGCTAGGCTTTAAAGGATTTGGCAAGGATTTGGGCTGGATTAGGCGAAGTGGAAGGCTACGAATCAGACTTCTAGAAGGATCAAGACCCGATGTGAAGAAAGAAGTCTAGTTAGTGTTGGATTAGAATTGTAAACCGACTGGGGTTTGAACACTATTTAAAGGGATCGGCGGTAGGAGGAAGGACACAATCAAAATAACATCAAATTTTTTCTTTTAACTTTCAGTCTTTTATTTTCGTTTAATCTCTAAAATTAGGGTTCTTCGAGAACTCCTTGAATTAGGCCGATTAACGGCAGCTGTATCTGATCATCAAAGGTTATAATAAAATCTGGCCTTCGGCCGATTCTTATTTTCCGAAATCCTTACATTTGATTTATTTAGCATATGATATTAAGAACAGCGCACAATCGTTTGAAAGATATATTGTTTGATTCTTCTAGGACGAAAATTGTGCAAACAACTTCATAGAATTAAACAAACACCTTGAAAGCTGATGAGTTTCAATCCCTCAACTAATCAAACAAGATACAGAGTTAGGCTTTAACTTTTCACTTAGAACAGATTACTACATGAAATCACAGTAAACAATATGAGTTAGTTTAGTACAAGCTAGCAATCTGGGGGCTACAGAACACTAAAACTTCATCGAGAGTGGCTTTAGATTCATCCCCAAACAAAGATTCTTTCCCATCAGCCCTTTTAGCATAAGACAATCCCAATCTGGATTTAGCTTGCCTTAGATCACCAACCCCTGAATTTGTATCAGGCCCTGCAAAACCTCCCATTACAGGAGCCAGAGGAGGTCCAATGAGCAATCCATCAGCACCAAATTGTGGCCCTCCTCGAGCATAATCGAAAAGTGCAGCCCCACTACCCCCAACTTTGCCTAATTTTATTGGTTCTTCTCCCTGATGATCATCATCTTCTTTTCCAGTCCAATAAAATAAGAAAGCATCAAAAGAATCATAGTAATCATCTGTACTTCTGTATCCTTCTGGATTAAAAGCTCCAAACTTGAACCCTTCATCTGTGTAGCCAATTATCACACAAGGTCCTTTAAAATCACTGCAGTTGTGAAAATCAGTTGCACTGAATCCATCAACTGTAGCCTTATAGCAACACCTAAGCTCCTTGCCTGCATGCCCCCCAAAATTATCAGAAAGAACCAACCTAAAAAAAATTGATTTTTTTGTTTCTAATTAACTTTAGGGGGGCCTAAAGCTCGCAACTTTCTTTCAGATCAAGGGGAAGATTCGCTCTTTTACCTCCATTTTCCTGCATAATTTTATACAATCAAAAGTGCTAGTTTCCAACCGTTAACTTTTCCTTACATCAAACCGACCTTATCCAGCAAAAGGGATTGCTTTCCAATATACTAAGAAATTAGAACTAGGCTTTTCGCATAAGCTGAAGAAAAATATTCATCATGTATCAATGGAATATAGTGGTAATTGAAACTGAGGAGGAAGAAGTAAAAGTACCCTTTAAAAATGTTTGGCTAATTAAGGAAGTTGGGAATGGAAGATCAATGTCGTGATACTTGGGCAGTGATTTGCTGCTGGAGTTCTTGTTGTTGTTGCTTCCAAAATTCCAGCCAAACAAATTCTGTGGGCATCTCTTCTTCCAAGCATACGATAAAGAACTGGAGGAGTAATAACAAGCCATGTTTCAAATGACCATTGTTATGTGATTCCAACTTGAAAGCCTAAAGATCTTCTTCAACTTGAAAGGCAATATCTACCTTATCTTGTATATATGCCATTCAATGGCAAGATTGTTTTTTCTCCTGCTGATTGGTCCTACTCCTGGATATTATCATTCTAACATATACTGTGCTGGAAAATATTCGGAAGTTAAAAAAAATGAGAGACAAAATACATATTCAAGCAATTCTTTTTTTTTTTTTTTCCAGATTGAAGGAGTAAAATACACAAATAAATATGATAGCTTAGTCTTTGTTTGAGAAGCAACAAGCAATGATTTTGTACCCCTGATCTGTTAACAACAATTCACACGTTACACTCCAACCTTGAGTTTGAAGATAAATTAAGATAATAGTAGGAAATCCATTTTTGACTTCCAAACTTAGGCATAATTTCACACCAAGCCACCACGAAAAATTAATACAGTTTTGACTATCATTAATTTTTTATTCAACCATTTGAGTTTTCGTTAAGGGAAAAATAGTAAACTAACAAAAAAATGTATTATACTAAATTATTACAATTGAGTTCATAAGTTTTAGAGAAAATTTATTTACACTCAAAATTTTAGTACTATAACAGTTTTTTTTATTTAATTATTTCTTTTTACTTTTTTGTTCTCTGTTTTTACTTTTATATTTTATTATAAAATGAAACAAAATTGTAACTAATCGAAATTAAACAAAAAAAAAATTGTTACACTTGAAATTTGCATGGACAACTTGGAGCCAACAAAGTTATTGAGCTACAATTAGACTTTATGATCTTTTAAGCAAAAATCTCTAATCCGATGAAAATTATCTTTCATGTCATTTTATTGTTATTGATCAATGAGTGTGATTGGAGTTAGAGGGTGACGAGTCATAAATTAACCTTAACCCTAATGGATTTGGACCGGCTATTTTAGAGATTAAGTCACCGCCTAAATCTAATACAACTAGGTTTCAGGAAACCGGTAACACTCCCTCTATATAAAGAGGTGATGCCTCTCCCATAATACAGATCTTCTACCTATTTTCTACACCTACATACGATACACATCCCTCCCTCTCTCTCTACTCTCTTTATTCCCTTATTGACTTTAGCATTGGAGAGTCTACCATCGGGAGACATCCGAGACTCTGTCTTGCAGGTTTTAGGCCGTTCGCCGCCGCCTCGATCATCATCGCCACCCGTCCTAAACACCGTGTAGATCCATGCTTCGTCAGCTGGCACGCCCAGTGGGACCCATTTGTTTGGTCTTCACAACCAAATAAATTTCTTAGCGAAGCACGGAATCTTTTGTATCTTTCGCAGCCACAGTGTTAATTTGTTGCTTCAATTTTGCAACAAGAAGATCACGCAAAAAAATTTTCTTTGTTTGACCAAGAAGACGTCAGCCGACAAGTAGCACAAAGAAGCTTTCGATTGCACAAATAATCGAGGAGCTGCACTTGCTCCACAGCTGATCGAGAAGAACAATTAGTAAGGGGCAATCTCGAAGATTGGAGTTTTGAGAGATACATCTCCTCGAAGGGGCAACAATCCCTCGAGCACCATATTACTATATGAAATGTTCGAGAAGATACATCTCCTCAAAGGGGTAAGCATCCCTCGAGCACCTTACTACTACTCAAAATGTTCGAGAAGACGTATCTCGACTTTCATCTACCCAAATAATACTTTTTCCGAATCGAGGTAACACCTTCTCGAGTAATCAATTTAACTGGTAAACGAGGTACTTCTCAAATCTTTTCTAACTATACTTCTCAAATCTAAGCCTATAAACTGCTATTCTCATTATAAGTATATTATTTATATCATATGACAATATCTATTGGATACATACATCATATTATTGCATATCGAGCATCCAAACATATAGGGGCCACCCTTCAAATCAGGCATTGGGAACCACCCCACATCAGAAAGGAACCGAAAGACTTGCTAGTCGGGCACCGGGTTTAAATAAGACCTGCTAGTCGGGCACGACCCACAAAGACCTGCTAGTTGGGCACCGGATTTAAATAAGATCTGCTAGTCGGGCACGACCCACAAAGACCTGTTAGTCGGGCAATGGCCAAATAAGACCTACTAGATGGGCACAACCACAAGACCTGCACGACAGGCAACTACAGGCTTCTCACCTTCAATTAAGAGAATCTAGGTGCCATCCTCCTAATTCGGCATACAAATGCTTTCCCCTTCTAATCAGGAACTCACTAATACAAAGACCTCCTCGAGGCACTTTATTCTCTTTATCTTGTATAGGTGACACCCGAGAACGAAAGAGTTCGAGAGCTGGGGCAATACCATGAAACTCGAGAAGAGATCAACACTTGTTGCAACTCATATTCTTCTCATCAAGTCTCGAGAATATGGCTTGCAAGGGGCACTTGACGAGTCATCAATTAACCTAATCCTAATGGGTTTGGGCCGGCTATCTTGGAGGTTAAGTCACCACCTAAACCTAATACGACTAGGTTTCAGGAAACAGGTAACACCGCCTCTATATAAAGAGGTGGTGCCCCTCCCATAACACAGATCTTCAACCTATTTTCTACACCTTCCACATACGATACACATCCCTCTCTCTCTATTATCTCTATTCCTTTATTGACTTAAGCATCGGAACGTCTACCATCGGGAGACACCCGAGGCTCTGTCTTGCAGGTTTTAGGCCGACCGCCGCCGCCTAGGTCATCGTTGCCGCCCGTCCTAAACACCGTACAAATCTAAGCTTCGTCAGAGGGAAAGATAAGTTTTAAAATGAAAACGAATAATCTTTTGGTAATGGTGTTTTATATATATTAATATTCTTCTTTTTCTTGCATTTGTTATTACATTCTTACAAATTTTATGTATTTAAGTAATATTTTATATTTATTCTATTAAAATTTGATTATTTAGAATTTCATATTTTAGTTTAATTTAAATCATATCAATTTTTTCAAATAATTAATCATAATTTAATTAAAATATTCAACTTTAGTATAATAGAATTTCGTTCTAAGACCTATATCTAAAACCCCAAAGTATAAGAATACGGAGAATGGTATCGAATGACTTGACAATATTAGCCCTTTCATTAGATAAGAAGAAGATTAAAATTATTTTTAAGTTATTATCTAATTTAATTTTATAATTTTTATTTTAAGAAATTAAATTAAATTTTTATAAATTTTTAAAGTTTAATTGAAAAAATAGATGAAAATGTTTTGTAATATCAATTTTACTAGAAAAAATTTTAACGAGAAAAGAAATTTGTATTTGCAAAAACAAGAAGTAAATTATGATAGATAAATAAAATAGCAATGTAAATATAGGTTTTAATAAATTAAAAATGGGTGCGAAAAAATAGAAATAAAACAAATTGAAGGAAAAATATGCCAAAAAGTAAAAGAAAAAAAGTTGACCACTGTTTAAAATTTTTGGTTATAGTTCTAAAGTTTCAAGTGACAAACTTATGGGTTCAACTGTTATAAATTATTATAATATTTTATTAGTTTATCTTTTGCCCTTAAGAACATCCACATTGGTTTATACTATTGGGATATAATGCCATAAATTTTTAATATTATGCTAAAGTGGTTATTTTTACTAATTGGTTTACTCTCATGAGTTTTGGCCCAATTTACCATAAACCCCAAATAGTACACTACCATATACCCTCCTTCACTCATAATCAACCTACCAAATGTCCCTTAACACACGAACATCATCAATTTTGTATAAACGGTTAAATAACCTTCAATCCTGATTAATTATATAATCTAAATATTTATAACAACATATCATAAATTAAGTTAAAAAAAACTCCATACTAATACTTTTACATTAACGCACTTAAATAATAAATTTTCAGAATTAACTATATCAAGTTCCTTAATAATTGACTTATATTTTTCTATGAATCATAATAAAGTTATGTTATTAATCATACATTAACATTCATTTGTTAGCTTATGTTATTATTAAATGTTAAAATGACAAATTAAGTAATTTTCATCTTGAAGGATAAAAGTACGAAGAAAAAACAAACCCAAAAAAGAAAAGAAAGTTAATTTTATGTAAACTACGATCATTTTAGTCATTTTCGATGGCCATTTTAGTATTAATAAAATTGAGAGAGTTTAAAGTAGATTATCCCAAAATTGAGGAGGTAAAATGTTGTTTGCCCAATAGTAATTGGTTTTTTTTTTCCCCCCGGTGTTAAGGCAAAATAAAATATACCTGGGCCTTTCTACCCAAAGGAACCTTCATGAATAGTCCAATTGGATATTTCCTCCAGCCTCTTTTAATCTCTTCCTTTGTTGGGCAGAAACCCTAGATCTGTAGGTTCTCGAGTTAGGCGTTTGGAACTCAAAATCCATCCGGAGGTCGGGCTTTTCTCAAAATCGGATCTTTTCTTCTGGGCCTTTTTCGTTTTCTCTTGAAGCCCAGATGGCAATTCCCACGGCGGATTTTGTACTGCCCGATTCTGCCGACGTCCCCGTCGACGCTGTTATGGATCTTCCCGTCGGCGGCGATAAGTCGGTACCTTTTGAACCAGAAACAGAACTAGCCGGAGCACAGCCGTCAACGCGGCCAAAGAAGCGTAAGAAACCGACGTCGCCTATTATTAAGGAACATTTTACCATCGAAGCTGTTGGTGATAATTGCAGGAGGGCGTTTTGCAAGAAATGCCGGAAATCCTATGCCTATAGTAAAGGGACCACAATGGCCGGAACCAGTCACATTAAACATCATATTGACAATGGATCTTGCCGTGCTGTCCGTCGTCGTAATCAGGATGGAGTAAGCCCATCAAGGCGCCTTGATCGAACAAGAATTCCGGCAAGAATGATTCCCTTTGATGCAAATCTCTGCCGTAATGAGTTTACTAAGATGATAATCACGCTTGATGATTTGCCCCTTCACATTGCTGAGCATCCGGGTTTTGTTGCGTTTGTCCAGAATCTTCAGCCCGGGTTCGATTTGATGAATTTCAATTCTGTTCAGAAAGAGTTAGTGGCTACTTACCTAAAGCAGAAAAATCTCATTCAGGAGTTGATTCAAACAACACCTGGGCGTATTTGTCTCACACTTGATATGTGGTCTTCTTCCCGCAATCTGGACTATGTGTTTGTAACCGGTTATTTTGTTGATTGTGAATGGAAATTCCACCGGAAACTGCTGAGTGTTGTCACGGTACCCTGTCCTGACTCCGACACCGCTTTCAGTCAAGCGGTTTCTGAATGCCTCAATGATTGGAGCATCGGAGGAGGAAAGTTATTCTCGGTAGCCATTAATCAATCCTTGAGTGATGCTGCAGTTGATCACTTGAGAGCTTCACTGTCTGTCAAGAATCCACTCGTCCTCGGTGGCCAGTTGGTTCTTGGGAATTGTTTGGCGAAAAGTTTGAGCAGCATTGTGCAAGATGCATTCGCATCGGTGCAGGAAACTATCAAGAAAGTCCGCGATAGCGTTAAGTATGTGAGGAATTCAGAGTTGAATGAAGAGAAATTTCTGGGGCTGAAGCACCATCTTCAATTGGCCAGCACAAAATGTCCTATTCCGGAAGTTGATGACCTGACAAAGTGGAACACAACCTATGAAATGCTGTTGGCTGCATCAGAGCTGAAAGAAGTGTTTTCGTGTTTGGACATTGCTGATACTACCTACAAAAATGCTCCATCTTTGGAAGACTGGAACAAGGTGGAGACTCTGTGCACCTACTTGGAACCTCTGTTTGAAACAGCTAATCTCCTGTCAAGCTCATCAACTGTTCCCACAACAGACGCATTCTTCCATGAGGCATGGAAGATCCAATTGCAGCTTGGCCGTACCGCAGCAATTGACGATGATCCTTTTGTTCTTGACCTAACTTGTTTGATGCAAGAAAAATTTGACAAATACTGGAGAAGCTGTTGCTTCGTTATGTGAAGATTGTTAATGATGGAATTCATGAACTCTTCAGAGACTACGTTGCGACGCCTTCTTCCATGGAAGAAGAAAGTAGTAGTGGGAGTTTCAAGACTGAAGGAGGAAACCTCATTATTGTTGATCTTGGGCTTATAGATTTCGAAGTCTACATGACGGAGACGACCAGGCGGCAATCAAAAACAGAGCTGGATCAGTACTTGGAGAAATCCCTGTTGCCGTATGATCATAAATTTGACGTGATTGGGTGGTGGAAACTCAACAGGTTGAAGTACCCAACTCTTTCAAAGATGGCGCGCGATATCCTGTCGATTCCTGTCTGCACAGTTTCTGCTGGTTCGGTCTTTGATACCGTCCCAAAACAGATGGATAGCTATAAATCTTCGTTGCGACCCAAGACATTGGAAGCCCTTATGTGTTTGAGGAACTGGATGAAGAACGATGAATCTGGGGAGACTATTACTAATGTGCCTGTAAAGATGGAAGTAGCCATTTGATCAGTTTCTGAAATCATGTCTTTAGAAGGATGGGTTGTAGTTATGTGACATTCTTCTTCTCTAGGGCTATTCTGTTTCCTTTTGCAAACCATGTCCTACAATATATATCTGTGGTTCTGTAGAGGCGTCCAAAGTAGAAGATTTTGATTTGGTGGTTCTGTTTCATTGTTTCTGTGGCTTATCTAATTATCTTAGATTTCAAATGAACCTTGGTATTGGTATGATGTTGGAAGATGAATGATTTTATTAATCCTTATGATAACTTCATTGATCACTAATTTATTCGAAATTCATGTGCATGGCAAATACTAGAGATTCAAAATTGTTAGTGTTCTGATGAAACACATGTAAAATTGGATTTTCACCCATGTATTATAGGTTTTGTCTTATTTTGTACCGGGGAAAAAAAAAGGTAAAGTTCAAATATGGAGTATCATATAATTGATACTTGAGTCACATCAAGCACAAGAGACGCATACTACTCGTAAGCGAAGAAATCAGAAAGAACTTAAAGGAAGCTTCAATAACAATAATAATTGAAAAATTTTTATTACTCAATCAACTCCACCATGAGAAGGCAAATGGTTCTCCAAAGGTGCCCTACCATTTTCAGCTTTAGGGTTCTCACAGGTGACCTTAATAACTTCATCATCTCCTGGATCAAATTCCTTAAAGTGAGCTAACCTCCCCAGTTCTTCAACTTCGTCAATCACCAAATCCAGCCTTGCCACAATTTCCACCAGCAACGACGCAAAAGCTGCAAATGGAAGAGCTTCCGAAAATTCGAGGCTTGTTGTCGCAATCTTACTCAAAGTTGGCCTCAAAACCTTCCTCTCATTTTCCCTCGATTGATCAGAAGCCCTCTTGGATTTCCATTCAAACAATGCCGATGAATCCGTCTTGACACTTGATAGGGAAACTCCGCATCTCTTACCCGGTCCTTCTTGTTGCGCGGTTGCGGCCGCTAAAGCTAACATGTTTTTGGGCTTTTGTCCTAGAAATAGCTTCGGCTGGGATCTTAAGGTTGTGTCAAGGTCTCGTAAGGCTTCGTGGAGGTGGTCGGATAGAATTTCCGGTGAGCATTGTCGGCGATTTCTCACGCTATCTGCTAGTTCGACTAGGGCTTTTGTTACTTCTCTAGCAACTCGAGTACATGGATCTTTGAAAAGAGCTCTAACAGACCTCGGAGCCTGACAATCATGTGAAATTTTGTTACACTAAAAGGCGGTCTTAGAAAGAAGAATGTGTTTGTTGAGTTAAAATAATAAATCAAATCTTACTTAACTTTTTTTTTTTCTTTTTTCCGGGAATACTAAGAAGCTACAATGTTACACTTATGTCTCTATATTACCTGAATTTCTGTTTTTAAACATCCATGAAGAGCAACAACTGTGTAACCAAAATGGCGAAGAACAGCTCCCAATTGAACATACTGCTGCCATGGAAACTTGTAGCAATATCTTGAATGCCTTGGCTCCCAGCTAGCGTACATTGCCTGTCATTAAGTATAACACTTAAAGATAATATAAAAAAAATAACTGTATTCTTTTCGTTCTAAAACATTTGTCTTATTTATTTCTTTTTTTTTTCCCAATATAGTAATAAACATGACAGTCGCTTTGAGACTGTTGACACCAATTTCGTCAATGGTGTCGATCCAACAAGTGATATGAACCGGTCCGCAAATAATGAAATATGAAAATCAACAGTGCGTCCGAGTCGGAAGCCAAAGGAATCCGGGAGTGTGAATGGAATCAACCGCCGATATAGTTAATTATAAGATGTTTCCTATAATTAAGGTGTTTTATTTGAAGGCTAATTCTATTCATAGTAGGATTTGGTTTAATATGGGAAGGTGACAAGAAGTCTACTCCGAGTTGAAGTCTTTTCCTCCAAAGAATCAAGAAGCGGCTGACCTACTTTTCTCTCCAAGAAGTGCCGACCTATTCTTCTATTTAAGCAAGGCAGTGCGCAACATCAACATCATCTCACGATCACATCAACAACAACACAAGGCCTCCGACGCCTCTTTTACCTTTAATTTCTTTTTTTTTTCTTTTCAGTTCTATTCCTTTTATTATGTCCTTTTCAATATAACTTCTTTATCTTTTCAGTCCTTTTCATTCAAGTCTTTTATTATGTCTTTTCTGATGTAAGCCCTAGCATACTATAGGTGTTTACCTGTTTTCCTTCATAGAAATAGGTAGTTATTCATGTATTTTACTTCAGTGAATTCCATATCTCTGTAATAGCGTATCATCGCTATGGACTTCCGTGTCGGCGCTAGTGTCTATGGTCCGTGTCATAGCGTGTCATCGACTACGTCTAGGCGGTGCTGATATCTAAGTTTTTGTAATAGCGTGCCATCGATCAGGGAGTTCCCTGTCGGCGTTAGAGTCTTTTCTCTTTTATATATAAATCGAGCTGCTTGGCTTGTTCTACTATATCTCTTTTTTTTTTCTTTCTCTTTATTTTTACAAACCAAAATAAACCGTAAGTCCTCGATTCCTTGTCCGAGACTTGTTTTTGAACTCATTCACAATTGTTTGATATTTTATATTTGAGAGATTTTTATCCCTTTTCTTTCCTACGGTTAGGGTGATTTTTTTGGCACAAACAAAGACGGAGATAGGTCATGTTACGGAATATATTGTACCATATTGGAAAAAAAAAAGAAAAGAAAAAGAGTGAGAATGTGCAATGGAAATATTACCAAGGTCTCGTCGGTTGATTTGGAGTCCAGAACAGCCTTGTAGCCCTTATAAATTGGATCCTCTAATAGTTCTTCATTTGTTGTTTTGGTCTCCTCACTAAAATAAGCATTTACACAAGCTGCAAAATTTAATCGATTCTCAATAACTTTTAACTACATAACAAAATGAACAATGATAGCGCTATTGAATTAATTAAGGTGGTCGACATTTGAATATCGAAAAGACCACACTAATCTTTTTTTAGAGCAAAGAAAAAAAATGATAAATACTCTCCATCCTCTTCCAATAAAGTCTTGTTTGTAACTACTTTTTTTTTTTTTTTTTTTTAAAAAAGGAGAAAGCTGTGTTTATTTGTTTTTCTGTGTCTCAGCAGTCATGTGATTTCATGAATCATTGATCACTATGTCAAATTCACTACTTTTATCATTGTTTTTTTAAAAAATAAATCCCTTTAAGCTGCACCACCAATTTTTTCTTTTTCAACCTTTTTCAATTATACGTCTATTCGTAAACTCACGTGAGCGTAAAAGAAACTGTGGTTAGTTGTATCAATTTTGGAATTCAAATGTTGTTTCTAGTACATGTTAAGCCCTTTTACGGTGTTTACATCATCCAATCTTGAAACTTACTTCCAAATACTATTAAGAATAATAATAGATCAATGGAAAAAATGAAGTTTCAGAGTACCTTCAATAGATTTTGCTAGTCCATCGAGTTTTGAAGCAGTGCAATTATGGAGTTCTTCTCCAGACCAATTTGGGAAAATCAAAAGGGTCATGATGAGACAGATGCCACACCCAATGGCTATTGTGTAGAATCTTTCATGGGCTATTTTCAGCACATTATCAACTCGAAAGCTCGAAACTGTAATTAAATTGAAGGTCAACAGAAATATCACCACCCCATAGTCGTAGTTCTTCTTTATGTATGGGAAAAATCTCATGTACGTCGCAGCCATTCCTGTAAATCAGAAAATAAGTTTAGCCAAAAAAAAAAAAAAGAAATAAAAAAAAATCGTAACTTTAATTCACATAAGCTAACTTGTGAGGTAATGAACTTTGCGGATTGATATAATCGTGTTTCATTAGCGAGATAATATATAACTTAATGTTCAAAAATGCATTTGAATTTCGAAATGAGACATCAAATGAAGTACTTACCAATCAAGAAAACTGCTGATCCGATGAAAATAGCTTTGAAAGTTTTGCCAGAGGTAGTAGCAATATATTCGATTAAGAATGCAAGTGATCCAGCTAACAGCGTCCCAAGTCCTCTGTTTAGACCTTTGCACAAGGTGGCTCCTAATAAAATTCAATCACCAACCAACAATTAATCAAAACTCAATTCAAAATTTAATTATTTATTTTTTTCAATTTTATGGTACTAAAACAATTCAACGTACATGAATTAATCAAAATTTCATTTTGGGACGGAAAGTGTATACGTATAATCACCATTCAATACCAAATATGTATCACAATGAAAATGAGCACCATACCTGCAGTGAATTCAAGAACAACTACTACAGTCATGACAGCCCAGATGGCATTTTGTCCAATGTCTTCAAACAATGGCTCCAGAAGATACAACAAAGAAACCAGCGTCAATGACAACCCAACTTTGATCGAATGAATAACCCTCCTTGGATCTTCTTTCCCCACTTTCCACACTGTTTTCCAGGCCAAACCCGGAAACCTTTTCATCTTTTCTACACAAAAATTGAATCTTTTCTTCATTTTCTCCAATAATGTAGGTTTTGTGTTGATATCTCCGTTTATCACCACCCTTCCTGCTCCCATATGGTGCGTTATTCTTCTACTTATTAATTATGTAGCAAAAAATAATTGAAAGGAATGAAAATATCAGTTGGAGAAGGTCAGAGGGGTAGTGAAGTTTGTAAGGAAAATTTGCATGCCACCCCAAAATTTGAAGAGCTCTGTGATTTACTTTATATGTGAACCAAATGAGCAATGATGTGGACGTATTCACATGTTCTTGTAGTAAAAGGTTAGTATTACTTGTTAAAGATGAGCTGCACTTCACAGGTCTAATATGGAATCCTTTTTGTGTGTTTTGTGGCCATTAATTTTTTCGGACATTTTAAAATATGTAGTGACTATGATGTGGGCGGGAAGATTTTATTGGAAACTTTCTCGAGATTTATTTATACGAGAATCTATATTGTAGGAAATGTGAGGAGCTAAGTGGTGAGAGTTGGACATTAATGTCCTTTTTATGAGATGCTCCATATATATTGCAATTTGTATTGTTTGAGGTTTGGTGCTCAATTGATTAAGTTATTAAGATGCTCTGTATAATTTTTTTTTTTAAGAAAAAAATTTAGATCATTAATACGTCAAAATATGGACTCTTTAATCTGAGAATTGCACCTGCCTGGTTGTCCTTTTTTAAATATAAAACTTTCCGCACAACTTTTTTTAATTGTTTCATGTTCATATCATAATTCGAGCTCTTATCATTTTTAAGCAAATTTCCTACTAACTAGTTTTATTACATGAATCAAACGTTTATTGATAATCCGGCTGTCCTTCTCCACAAAAATAATATGTTATTTTTTTTGAAAACTTTATGTAACGGGTCGAACTATCGAAGCCATGCTAAGCAATGAAAAAACCAAGATCATGTTAAGAAATTAAGAGAATTACTTAACTTTTTTTTACATGGATAGCATTACATACATGCATCGCATGAAATGCATATTAGTTACTTGAATAAACTGGAATCATTAAAATGAGACCGATGCTACCTCATATTTCTGACTACTAAATTAAAGTATGAAAGAGGAAAAAAATAGAATATTGGATGCAACTACTATGACCTTGTTTTTCAATGCAACAAGTATTATCACTTTCTTGTTTTGGAACTAAAATTTTCGTAAAATTTATCATTTTTCTCTTAAAATTATTATTTTATTTTATTTATTGTGTATGGCTGCATAACCTTATATTGTACATCAGTTGTATCTAATATTTTCTCGTAGAAGGGACCAAAATTAAGCAAGATCGAGTAAGCGTGGCGATTAGCATTGATTAAGCAAAGAGCAAGCGTCATAATCAACAGTGTATTCCAGTTGACAAATTTTTAACTTTTTTCAAGCTTCAACCTTCACGAGCTAGCTATCAATCACAGTTTTCACTAACAACGATGTGATTACATATAACCAGTTTGAACTGTCAATTCCCTTTGACTTCAAAATTAAATTTGGTGTATCATTTAGTTAATCAGCTTCTCCCGCCAGCTGCTGCAGCAACCAACTAAAGCAAACACTATTAATGGTTTTCACGAGGACTTTATATATGATAGATACACATATGCGTTTTTCAGATGTCCGGTTCTTCAGGTCCTTTGATGATGAACAAAAACTAGCAATATTACAGATATATTGTTTGCTGCTGACCTAACCCCAATGGAAATGCACGTAATTTTGTTGCGGCTGCAGGTTGTTTGCCCGTTGGCTGAGTTCGCCCAACAATAATAATTCCAAAAAGCCTTTAACTGATTTTTTTCCAGGTGCTAGCTTTGAGGCATTTCGAAGTGGCAGTTCCTTGTCTTTCCACGCGTAATGGTATTATTCATACTTATTATACTTTCACCAACAAAACGCGGCCGGAGATTTGAGTTTGGAAATGCCAGAACTACACGTTACTTCATAGATAGATGATTTTAAGGTAAAGATGAAAATCGATCATTAGCGTTGCACCGACCTTATTGTAAAATCCAACTGAATAGTGGAAAGCTAGATGTGGGATCTCATTTCCTCGGTCCGGAAATTATTGTATAGTTTTTCATTTTTTATATAAAGTAAATTAAAAATAAAAATATGAACTAACAATAATTTTAAAATAAAAGAAATATTATTTTTGTCCCCCCTTCTAAGAAACAACGAGTCGGCGGCTCCAACCCAATAAGCCGCTCAAAAAATTAAAGATTTCTTTTAAGAGATTAACGAGTATTGTTATGTTGGCGTTTTCACTTTATTTATTTCAAAAAATTAGATTTGTTGCATTAAGTCTCTTGAGTTTATTAACTCTTTAAATCTTATCAAACCTTTAAACTAATGCTTCCGTTTGTGATTTTAAAATGTAAGCTGATGAGCTTTGCTATTTTTCGAAACCGTTGCCTTAAAAGAATTTAATTTGAAGTTTTATCTTTAGTGGAGTTAAGGCTTATTAATTTAACCAGCAAAACTAAGGTTGCATCCTTAGATTTTGTCCTATAAATATTACGTAGAAAAGTTTCAACAAAACACACCAAAAACAAAGAAAAACATTTCTTTCTCACTTTTCTAAAATCCCAAAAATCCCTTAAGTAGGTTTTTCTTGAGTCTTTTTTCTTCTTCTTTCAGTCCCACTTAAATATTGGATCTATATATTTGTTAGTTTCTGTGCCCTTTAAACTTAAGAGAAGAAGGCTTGTTTTATGTTGAGGGAACATTTTGTTACGCCGAAATAATTTCTTTAGGACAATGCAATTTGCACGACTTAAGTATTTTATTTGTATGTTGATTTAGCATATTTTGGAGCATTACCCCAACAATCTAAAGAAACTAAGATTCCAACTAATGCTACATTAACCCATGATGTTATTCTTACTACTCTGATGGTACTTTAATCGTGAGTTGATATTGAGATGAGTGATATCAGTTTTCACGCAAGGGAAAATCTTATAGATGGTGATTGATATGAATTTATTTTATAAGAGATGAGAATTAGTGTGTTCCAAAGGTAACCACAATATAGATAAAATGCACTGCCAAATTAAGGTTACCGTATCACTTATTAGTTGCATGCGTGTCTTTGAGTTTTTACCAAGCTTTGAAGTTCATTAATTTAATTAATGAAGCATGTGAAATTAATTTCTTTTGGATTAATATTAAATTTATCAAAAAGCATGTGTTAGATATTATTCCTTTTGGAGTCAGTAGTCTAACGTGATTATGTATACATATAAAGCATGACAATTGATATTTTACTGATGTCTAAACTTGCAGCAAGCCATGTTTTAAAACTGAAATGGCCAATGTCGTGTTTTGCCTTTTGTAAATTTTAGGGGAGGGTTTAACCTTTGCGAAAATCAATTTGGTTAGTATTCATTTTGAGAATATTGAGAATGGAAACAAATTTGATTTTTTGAGTATTTCTTGAGCATGATACGTAAAATTAAAATTATATGTGTTTAATATTGACTTGTGATCTAAAACTAGTCATACTGCAATAATTGCATAGTTTAATTTGTTTTATGATTTCTTATAGATGAATTACTAAATTCATGTTATAAATGTGTTTATAGTAATAAGAATATATGATTTACAAAAAGAGGAAACTCATATTTATTCTTATGTTGATAATTGTATATCTAGATGAAAAGAAAATACAAAACAAAGTACTTAATGAAATTATGAGGGGTTATGGACCTAACTAAAATGTTTAAAAGCGTGGGGGTACATTGCTAAACGGATGTTGTTAGAATTTAAAAAGAGTGTATTGGTTCAAACACATGCTTGTTTCCTTATTCCTTGAAGGAAACCGCCTTTGATTAGTATCAATCATTAGCACCAGGTTCCATTCCATCATGGGACTTTCAATAGAGAGAATTCTTATCATACTTCCGCAGGGATACTGCACGATTATCAATTGTTGACTTTTCGGAGATTCGGCAAAAGTTTGGAGAAACTGCAGAGGCATACCTTATCCGGTTCCGACAGATGTATGCTAAAATACTTGACAAGTATGAAGAACCAACTATTGTCAAAATGGCCGTTGCAGGAATCCAAGATTATAAGGTGAAATTAGCTATTGCGCCACATTCCGTCCTATCTTTGAACCATTTGGCGGGTATTGTAAGATGGTGCGAAAAGGTAATTAGGGATAAACGAGGGAAAAATCCAGGGAAAGCAAAGCAATGGTTTAACAAGAACCCAGTCACAGAGGTGAATTAGAATCATTGGGAACATGATGAAGATGATGATGAGTACGATGCCAATACTGCTGAAATCGTAAATGATCGTAATTATACTAATGAGGCGTTACGTCGACCTGTTGTGCCACATTCTTATAACACTCCTCCACCAATAGGAGCACCATCAGGAACTCTAGGACAAGCTGATGGAACTAACGTTAGACAGGTTTATTCTTTCGATATTTCTCAGCAAGAGGCTATTTTTGATGATATGTTTAAGAAAGGCCATATTCTGTATAAGAAAGGATACCGACAACCAAAGCCGGCGGATGTAGTTGGAAATACGTATTGCAAATATCATATGTCATGGACTCACAACATTAATGACTGCGTAATATTCTGTAACAATCTTTAGAAGATGATAGATGATAGCAATGTCATAGTAGAAGATCCGGTTGAGATGAATACCAATCCGTTCCCGCTACAACATCAAGTCCGTATTGTTGATTTGGGATTTGGAGGTCATGCCCCTGATACATGTTTGATAACAGGTTGTGAAGATTGCAACAAAGTTTTTAGTTGAGGAAAACGTCAGCTTCGTGAGTTAGGATCTAAATTCGGAGACACCCACCTGCAACAGAAGTAAATATTGTGATAAATGGGCAAACATAGACTTGGGTACAGAAGGAGACAACTTTAGATCCAGAACAAGAAAAGTTGCGGGTAGTATCATATACTATTTTGAATGCTTTAAAGCAACAGCGACAGCCAGAGACGCCGTATTCAGAAAGGCAGCACGTAATTGCAACGTCTCAAAGGCGTTTACCTGTGCAGTTAAGATTAGGGAGACCAATGAGTCCCGAAAGGACCAATGAGCAGCGTAATATTAAAGATCATCGACCTTCGGTATGGCAACGGATTGGAAGACCTGCACCACAGAATAATGTTCCGCTAAGGGCTGAGAAGGCATTGTCAGCAAATGATGGTGAGTGGCATCGTGCAACACATTCAAAATTTCCCAACTAGACACCGACAGGAACTAAAATGACTATAACTCAAAAACGTTGGTGGCAACGGGTAATGAACAAGAAAACCAGAGCAGATTTGGTAGTGGAGAAGATACTTACAACATCCGAATCACCCGCTAAGCAGGATTTGCCACTGATTAAGTTTTCGGGTCAAGAGGAAAGGCGATCACAATCATGGGAAAGGCCATATGTATATTTCCCGCTGGTAAACATGGTGTATATGTTGCCAAAGTCTTTTTGCCCGCAAGCGACACCATCTTCAACATCCCTAATTCCAAAGCCTGTTGAAAGACAAGTTACAATTCCAGAGGCGACTTCGTTTGTGACTGAGCCCAACAATACTGCAGTTGGTGGGATCCAGTTGTTTCCTCAAGAAGGAAAAGTTCGGTTATTATGCTTTCACAACCGGCAGAAGATGCTACGTCCCATATCGGACCACTATACATATGCGCAGTTATGGATGGTGTTCCATTGAAAAGGGTATTGGTGGATAATGGAGCAGCTATAAACATTCTGCCATCAAAGGCATTGAGTAAGCTAGGTAAGCAATTAAAGGATTTAGTACCAACTGAAATCTTTGTGAGTGGTTTCACAAGAGATGTTACAAGTGCTAAGGGGATTTTACCGCTACAAGTAGAAGTAGGATCACAGTCAGTTTTATAAGCATTCTTTGTTGTTGATACCAAAGCGTCATATAATGCTCTTCTTGGTCGAGACTGGATTCATTCAACAAAATGCATTCCTTCTTCTTTACGTCAAGCAGTTATTTTGTGGGGAATTGATGGTCCAGAGATTATTGCCGTTGATACAAGTCCGTTTGCTGCACAAGCGAATGCTGTAGAAGCATATTACTACGACAGGGAGGTAGGTCCTTACCAACTTATCGGCATGAACAAGTATGGTCGGCTAAAGCAGACCACTATTCATAGAGATATGAATCTTCCTGAATGGAAATTACTTCGGCAAGAAGTCAATAGGCCATACAATTACAATGTGTTAAGGCCGTTGCCAGGCACACTAGCTATAGAAGAAGTTTCCAATGAAGACAATTGAACAGCTAAAAGTATTGAGTGCAGAAGATTTAGATGCTGATTTGCTGAAAGCAAAAGAGAAACAAGAAGCAATTCAGCCAGTATTGCAATATATTAAAAATGAACACCGACAAGCAGCTGAAATGCCAGGAGTATGTTTGGATGACGTGATTTATGATATTGATCCAATTTTCTGGCAGTGATGTTATAGAATTGAATGAATTGGCCACCGCAACACCAAAGCTTAGTGATGACGCAGTCGTTACTAAAGAGCCAGTCGAAGCAGTAAACTTGGGCTCAGCAGGCGAGGGAAAACCGACCTACATCACCTCTTCCTTGATAGCCAATGAGAAGCAAATATTAATAGCGTTGTTGCAACAATACCGTGATTGTTTCGCATAAGACTACACAGAGATGCCAGGGTTAAACCGCATTTTAGTGGAACATAGCATCCCTTTGAGGAAGGGCTTTAAGCCGTTTACACAACCGCCTCAACGATTCAGTGACGATGTTGTAGTCAAAGTCAAAGAGGAAATTGAACGGTTGTTAGCAGTTGATTTCATTAAAATAGCCGTTTACGTCGAATGGTTGTCAAACATAGTTTCGTTCATCAAGAAAAACCGCAAAACAAGGGTTTGTACAGACTTCTGCAACCTTAATTTAGAATCACCAAAGGACAATTATCAGATGCCAATCGTGGAAACTTTGATTGATAGGTTAATGGGTTTTCAAGTTATGAGTTTTGTTGATGGTAACGCTGGATACAATCAGATTTTTATAGCTCTTGCAGATGTTCATAAAACTGCTTTCCGTGCACCAGGAGCATTAGACATTTGTCAATGGAAGGTGATGCCATTTGGATTAAAGAATGCAGGAGCAACTTATTAGCGAGCAATGAATTGCATCGATGATGTAGTTATGAAGTTCACATTCTTTTTCAAAACATCTGCAACACCTGCATCAATGTTTTGAGCGTATGAGAAAATACCAATTGAAGTTAAACCCGCTGAAATGCACATTTGCTGTAACTTCTGGTGTGATTTTTGGGTTTCTAGTTCATTCCAGAGGCATTAAGGTTGATGCTAAAAAAGCCAAAGCAATTATAGAGGCTAGGCCTCCCCGTACCAAGAAAGAGCTGCAAAGTTTAATCGGCAAAGTTAATTTTCTATCGCTGATTCATCTCCAATTTGTCCATGAAGTTGAAACCTTTTTCTCCACTTTTAAAGATTCAAATAGTTGACGATTTCGTTTGGGGGGAAGAGCAATAACAAGCTTTTCAGAATATCAAACTTGCTTTGACTACTCCTCCAGTCATGGTGGCACCCATAAAAAACAAGCCGTTGAAGTTTTATTTATCAGCGACTGAGGAATCATTGGTTGTTTATTGGCTCAGGATGGGCATGATGGATTTGAAAGAGCTATTTATTACCTAAGTCATATGCTCACTAATACAGAACACAGATATCCGCCGATAGAGAAGTTGTGCCTGGCATTATACTTTGCCGCCACTAAGTTACGACACTACATGCTCCCTTGGTTAGTGTGTGTTATTATCAAAATTAATCTAGTACGATACATGTTGTACCGTCCCACAATGAGTGGTTGGATAGGTAAATGGGTGTTAGCTTTGATGGAATACCAATTCCAGCATGTGCCGCAGTCGGCGGTAAAAGGGCAAGCACTAGCAGATTTTCTAGCTGTGCTTCCATCTCTAGATGATGAATGGAGTGATGAATTCCTTGAATCATTTCAAGTGCACCAGGTGGAAGAGCCTTTATGGACAGTACATTTTGATGGATCTCGGATGTTTACCTGTAGTGGCGCAGGAATAGTAATGACTTCCCCACACGGACAAAAGTTGCGTAATCAAATTCGTCTAAGTTTCCGGGCCACCCATAATTAGGCAGAGTATGAAGGTTTAATCCACGCTTTGCAAACGTTATTACACAATAAGGCAACTCGTGCAAAGGTGATTGGAGATTCTGCCTTAGTCATTGGACAGATAAAGAAGTTGATGGATCGTAATGATGACATCATGTCAAAATATGCAGCCGTTGGTGATGTCCTTGCAGCTCAATTTCAACATGTTAAATTTTAGAATATGGAAAGAGAATTTAATGGTGAGACCAATGACATGGCACAGTTAGCTTTCGGATACCTTAAAGCGCCACTTGACCCGGATATGGCTTATGACACCGTGGATTTTGATGCTCCAGCATATGTTTGTTACCATCCAGTAGTGGTCTTTTTTGTTGTAACTGATAATACAAATGGTGATTGGCGTACACCAATAATAAAGTTTTTGCAAGACCCAACTCATCATACTCCATAATCCATTTAGCGGCAAGCACCTAACTATGTTTTGTTGCAAGCGTAGTTATATAGGAAAATAGTAGACAGAGTTTTACTTCGGTGTTTGGGTAAGCTGGAGTACACAGTTCTCATGTTGGAAACGAATGAGGGTATTGTGGTGCATATCAAGGCGGGCGTAAAATGGCTTGGCTACTCCGTCGCCACAGTTATTTCTAGCCGACTATGACTCAGGACTGCATCAATTTTGCTAGAGGATGTGTTGATTGTCAAAAAAATGCAGATATTCCACACACACATCCATAACCCATGCATTCATAGTCAAACAATGGCCATTCCGTTATTGGGCTTTGGATGTTATTGGCATGATATGTCCACCATCATCTACTGGTCATCGATATGTATTGGTAGCCACAGATTGTTTCACCAAGTGGGTAGAAGCGGTACCCCTGAAATATGTTGATCAAAAGGCAGTTATTTTCTTCCTCCAAGAGCACATCATATTGCCTGAAACAGTGATCACGGATCAAGCGCAATATTTTGTAGGCCAAGACATGGTGCAATTTGTCAAGGATATGAGTTTTATCTTAACACATTCCTCACCATATTTTGCGCAAGGTAATGGGAAAGCTGAACCGACAAACAAAATCTTAAAGGGCATCATCCAGAAGACAATTTTTGATAACCCAAGACAATGGCATGATATACTACGGCAAGCATTATGGGCATATCGTGTGATGCAGCGGGGTAGTACCAAGGCAATCCCGTATGAATTGGTCAATGGTCATGACACTGTTTTGCCAATTGAACATCTTCTTCCCTCTCTCAGGGTTGGTCAGAAATTTCCATTAGATTCAGCCGACTACGCAACAGCGATGCAGATTGATCAAGACAGATTATCCTATAGCCGGAATTCAGTAACTTCAAATATCATCAATCAAAAAGCTAGAATCATACGTGCTTACAACAAGTTTGTTTGACAAAAGTACTCTAATGTTGGCTCTGAGGTGTGGAAAGCTGTTTTACCATTGGGGTACAAAAATCGTACTTATGGAAAATGGAGCCCCACTTGAGAAGGTCCTTATATTATGCACCAACACTTAGGTCGTGGGGTTTACATGTTAAAGGATTTGGATGGAAAAATTGCAGATAGATCCATGAATGCTACCTTTTTACGGAAGTACTTTGCTACTGCATGGGACCAGCTTAGCAATGAAGAGCAGAAATTGTCACGGGATATCGCAACAAATTGATATACTTAAGGCAGATATTTATTACTAATAGAAAAAACAAAAGTTTGTTTTTGTGCAGGATCACAGTTGCTGCAAATTTCATCAACAAAAAACATAACAAAAAAAATGGTGGCAACATAAAAGGACATGGCTGGCTGTTTAGGCAGGAGGAGATGTTGGAATGGCCCCTTCATATGGCTCACACCGCAAAGGAGACACCATCAAAACTTCTTCATCTCCTAGCGGCTGATAATGTTAATATTAGCATGATATTTGTGGTGGTTTATGTGTTGTTTTGAATATTATCTATGCTAATATTAGTGCTTTGGTTCTTAATTTGATCTTAGAAAAGATTCGGAACAAAAAGAAGAAAAGTGTTGATTTTGAAGTTTTATTGAATCAAGTTTCAAGTTAGAGAAAAAGTAGTTGATTCCCGCGTGGGCACACAAAATTCATGCCAAAATCAATGAGGAAGCAGGAAATTCCAGAAACAATGTTGTATTCCCGCGTGGGCACGCTGAAATAGGGACTAAAGTGCAAAATTTCCAAAGTTTTAGGGTTAATTTATAATTTTAGCAAATTTCAGGGACCAATTTGCAAATTCTGAAAATTTTAATTGGTTGCTGCGATTTTTGGACGGGCTGAACGTGGGGATGCCCTAAATTTGCATATAAATAGTCTTTTTCTTATTATTTTGAGGGAGGTGAAGAGGCACAACACAGGAGAAACAGCTGGAGCTCAGGACAAGGATTTCTCTCCATTTTCGTCAGTTTTAGCTCTGTAATGTCAAACATCAATTCTTGTGTTTTTGATTTCACCATGATTAGCAACTAAACTTTTTTTTTTTTCTAGTTAAAGGATTTTATTGAAGCCTTGATGTTATTCAATTGTGAGATCTAACTGTTTGCTTTTCACCAACGAATTTTGAGTATTTACTTATTCTCTTTGATGATTATATATGATTATTTGGCATGAATAGCTGGTAGCATTCAATTCTCCTAGATAATCTAATTTATTGAACAGCAAGGTTTGTTTGTTCTTTAGAAGAGACAATGCAAATAATTACTTGGTAAGTAGTTTACTTGTGTTGTGAGAATAGATAATTAATTTTTAATGAAACAAGGTTTGTTTGTTAGAAATTGAATTGAATCTTTGCTTGTCAAAGATTGAATCCTAGGAGGTTCCAGGTAGTGTTTTTTGGCTATAGAGTGATTAATGAAGGTTTCTTAGTCACTGGTAGTTAAATAAAAAGACTGAGTTGTTAGGAGGTTCCAACAACGAAAACTAATATATTCATCATTTGTTGAGTTAATCTTTGCATCAATGATCAGTTGGATACATCAAGGTGGAAATTATTCTTTTGACTAGAGTTGCTCTTATTATTGATTTTCCAAAAGTATCTTTTATTGCTTGCAAATTATTTTTATTATTCATTAGTTACAAATCCAAAATCTCTCCCATTTAGTTACTTTGCTTTTGATTAGAAATATTTCACTTCCTTACTCCCTGAGGGGACGACCCTACTCATTGCTATACTACTAAATTTCTTAGGAATAGGTTCTTTTATTTTTGTTAGTTTGACAACCCACCAGCGGCACAACTTGCTGATCTTTTTCTGTTGCACTGCCTTCTTTCACCGACTGGGTCGCTTCTGTTGATCCCGTTGCAGTTGATCCATTGTCGCAGGAGAATTTGGAGCTATTCCTACATTCTGCATTAAATGAGTAATTGTGCTTTTTAGGAAATTCCAACTCGCTTGGGCTCCTTTCACCATCTGCTGAGGATCTTGATACTTGGGATGAAGTTTTGCAACTGTTTCAGTCATACTCCCATATTCACTTAGTGCGACATCAGTTTCTGTCACAATGGATCCCAAGGCAGATTCTAGCTCAACCCTCTTGGTCTGAACCTTCTCAAGTTTGGCCACCAGATCTGCTTCTTCTGCCATTTTCTCCTTGATCTTTGATTCTAGTTTCGCCGCTTGATCCACAAGTTGCTCTGACAATAGTTTGTTCTTCTCACTCTTCTATGTGTGGCACACAGACTTGACACTCTATCTGCTTCTGTGCTGCCTCTGCTAAGATCAATTGAATAGCCGCCGCCATTAGGGCTGGCAATCTGTGTCGGGTTCAGATTGGCAGGTTGGGTTGAACCCGAATTCGAAAAAATTATGGCTAACCTGAACCTGACCTGTTTAATTATACAGGTTGAGAATATCAACCCTAACCCGACCTTATAAAAATCAGGTCAACCCGGGTCGACCTGTTTAACCCGTAAAAAATCAAAACAACTACCTTCACAAGGTCGACCAGTTTACCTGGGAAACAAAGACATGTTCAACCAGGAAAAGAAAAGACAGAACAACAATAAAGCTAAAGTTTGATTTTTGAACTATCTTACAAATTACAACTCATGAATGATCAAACCATAAAGAACATAAGTTTCGAAGTACACTTTCAAATCGTCAAATTAACTTGTCTTTAAGACTTGAAACTTCAACCTTAAAGCACAAACTACAGCCCCTTATCTTCCCTGCAAAAGATGGATCAACAGTGTCATCATCAACATTAATCGAATCCAACCAAATAAATCTAGCCACAAGAAAAAGACGAAACTGACACTAATAAATCAGCCAGCTATCAGCCAAAATTGTGTAGATCTAATCACTTCTGAATCAAAACTGAATTTTTACCCCGTAGCTCATAAAATAAATAAAATAGAAAAGGAAGCACAAATCGAACTGTAGCTGAGAGTGGAGAGTGAGAAGAGCCTACCTTGAGATGAAGAAGAAGCGAAGCGAAGTCGAAGCAAATGCTGCTCAAATCGCCAAAATCATTGCTCAAAATCGAAGCGAAGACCACTGCTCAAATTGCCACTTCTTTGAAAGATCTGAGTGATAGGGAAGAGTATGAAGAATCTCTGATTGAGAGAGATTGAGATTGGGGAGAATTTTTTATTTTTGGCTTTAGGTGTTTTTGGACGGCCGTCGAGAACGTTGAGTTAGGAAATTAGGGCGTAAAATGAAATTGGGAATGGGAATTGGGAAAGTCTTTGACTGATGTAAATTGATGTAGGTTTTTTTTTGTGATAAAATTCCCAAAATAACCCTACAAAAAACATAAATAATATACATCCGGGTGACTCGGGTAACCCGACGGGTTGACCCGAACTCGACCTATATAATAAACAGGTCGACCTAACCCGACCTGTTTATTATACGAGTCAAAAATCCCAACCCGAACCTAGTTATTTTGTGTCGGGTTCGTGTCGAAAATCCGGGTAGTGTCGGTGATTGCTAGCCTTAGCCACCATGCCATCATCAATAGGGGAAGCTTGGATTTTAGACAGCAATGTCTTCAGCTGGTCATATTTTGTACTGTATACTTCTTATGCTGACAACTGGAACATTTCAGCAATCTGTTGCAAGGCAATGCCCTAGGGGATGTTGGGGTCACTAGAAGCAGTGTCCACTCTAGTATATGCCGCTGCCTTTGTCTATTCAAAACGTGCCATCAACGTTGCAACAGATGGGGGAGCTTTTTTTCCAGAACTTGTTCGGGTCGATGAAGTGGCAGCCCTCAGTTTTTTCTTACTCTTAGGAGGTGCCTGGTTCACTTTTTTTTGGGAATGCATTGGAATAAATTGGAATGGAATGGAATGGAATGGGTATGGTGACTTTGATTGTTGTTGCTTGGTTGATAATTTGGAATGATTAGCATCATTTAGGAAATTCCTTTTGTATCCTCGTTGACAACTCTCTCAATTCTAGATTTACCAAAAATAAACAAAACTTCCAACCCCATTTGATCAAGAACGAACAACATCAACACCAATCAACATCATTGGCAACACATCCATGAGACATCAATCGTTGACAACAATATCCATGAAACATAAATTACTCTAGGACTATGTATAGTGATGTAGCACTTCTATTTTTGATCGATTAGAGGAAAAAAAAAACCCCAAACACTTATAAGTAATAATAAATTTGTTCATAATTCAAAATTCGAAAAAAGACCATGGCAATGGAGATGGAGATGTTTGGTTGTTAAAAGGTTTTGAGCTTCCTTGATTTGTTGAAAAACTTTTAATGGAAAAAGATGGAGAAAGGGTATAGATCTATAGTGAATAGATGGATATAGGAGATGAGAGATTAGATAAGAAGAAAGGAGAAAGGAAGAAGATGAATTTTGCAAAGGGGGAGGAGATTTGTAGTGCTGGCGTCTGACGGCTAACCACTGATGCGTGGTAGAGAAGATTGAGAGGTGGGTGATCCTGTTGGAGAAGAGGGGTTGTTTTAACCGGAAAAGAAAAAGATAGAGATGGAAGAAGATAACATAATTATTGTGGAGAGAGAGGAGGGATAAAACATGTAAAATATCACAAGTTGAATTCATATCTCCCGAATGTATTGGGAATGGATAATTGGGAGTGAGTAGCTAATTTGTGGGCCCATACCATTCCCAAATGTTGAACCCAGCATCAAATATTGCTATCAAACCCATTACTGGGATTTCAAACCCTCGAAACAGGCAGTACCTTAGTTCCACCAAATGCCGACACAGCTTTCTTAACGGCAATACTCTCCCCAATGGCAACAAAACCTTTGTCACTCTCCTTGTCATTAGATTGGTCATCACTGCCATCAACATTCACTGGATTCTCCTGCAACACAAACACACACAGGTGAATTTGCAAAAAAAGTGTTTTGACATTCTCATGGAATTATATCAATGTTTCTACCTTGTCGCTGGCTTCACTTGCCGTCCGTTTCTGTCCAATAAGTCTGGTGGACCGATGGGTTTTGGTTGGCGCTTCTGTGGCAGAAACTTGTTTGGCTTTACCTCCTGCAGCATCTGGAGTTTTCTTGGTCTTTTCAGTGCCAGTTTTTGCCTTTCCGCCATCCTTACCTTTCCCTGCTATGTACACACTTAGACAGATATGCAAATGTAAGCTGCAACATGAAATGCTAAAATAAAGTTTTATACCTTTAGGAACCGCTTCAACTTCGGCTGCAAGGGTTTTGGGTTTGTGTATTTTCCAATAAGAAAAGCAGTCTTCACTGCTTCATATCCAGAGCCGTACATAGTGTTTGCCAGCTCTCCCCAACACTCGGCAAATCCAGGGGTTACATCAAAACAGAATTTGGGGTTATTGGAGAAGTTTTTCCACGAGTAGCCTTCAACTCCGAATGGGCTTTCATACTGTCCCATGGTCAATTTCTCTCTGCCTAATTTCCCTGTGTTCCAACCAGACACTTCGAAGTGTAGCACGCTCTGAGCAAATCCAAATTGGTGGGCTACCATGTTTGCCAGGTAATTTCTGCGTGGATATCAGCACCCACATTGCGAAATTGCACACTTTTACAGCCGTAGAAGATGTCCCTTGCTGTCAACAAATGGCTCCATACACATGTCAACCTATATATGCCAATATTATCCCACCGGCCACTTTCAGCTTCAGTATGATATATATTTCCAAAACTCTTATGCCACCAATCGTGAAGCTGTTGCACCATCACACCTATACCTGGACTTGATTCAAAGACTATCTTAAAAGCTTGAGTTCCATTGTACTTGGGTTTCACATACTGTTGCACTACCAGGCACAAGGATTCTCCGCTATCAACAAGATATATTCCCTTCGCCTTCAGATTCGGGAAATACATATACAGCCTGAAATGCAATAACCAAACAGGACCAAATAGAGTTGAACCTGGATTATGCCATGTTTCATGCAGACTGCGATATAACGTTGCCAACAAGGCTTCAGCTAGGTTCAATTGTTCTCTAGAAGCTAATCTACCGGCAACGTAGTACCAATCCATAGTCATCTGAAAATATTTTCCAGGGAATACATACCTATTCAACCACAGAGCTAAGAAACATATACGATGCAGGTGGCTTAGTTTCCCCTTGTTTTCACTGATGAAAGGGCCATAACTCCTAGTTTGGCCTGCCGCTGCCAGAACTGTATCATCATCCGTCACCTTTCCATCAATGGTCACAGCTGCAACTGCATGCAACCCTGTAATAACACAGACATCTAACAGAGCGAGTGTCATTGGCCCCCACAGGAAACAAAAAACGTTGCTGGTGCCGCTCCAGAATCCCATCATTGCTGCCACCAAATCTCGGTGTTCTGCGAGTCCTACGGTGCAAAATTGCAACAAATCATAAATGTTGGCCATCCTCCATGTATCTCCATATTCCGGCTCAAGTTGATTGTACCACCCAACAAGCGCCTCATGAGTCTTCGGCTTGTCAGACCATGGCCACACCCGAATCCCGTCGAAACTCTCAAATTTGCAAGGATTTTCGTATTTGTGGTAAGCACCTTTTGGGCATAGCAGTGGAATGTATTCTTTGAGATTTTCTAGTGTCGTCGGAAAATTCGGCCCCATGGTAAAGTGCCGCAAAGACCGATTGTAGGGCAGCATCACTTGTTCTTCATATAGTTTCAAGAAATCGATGTCTTATGGCTTCACTCCCTGTGCTGCAGCTTTGGATTTGTCAAAGGCCATAGGATTTGCATCACTGGTGCCGGCCATTCTTCAAGAACAGTTACAGCAACTCGAAAAAAAGGGGATTTTTGCTTGGTTTGGAGAAATTTTGGTTACTGGTAGACAAATTTTGTTGGCCGATAGATGTGAATATTTTGATGGACACAGCTGCTGCTTTAATAAGAATTTTTTGTGAGAGCTTTAGATTCAACTTCGATTTGGAATCGAAAAAGATTTTCCGTTGAAACAATGGCAAAGCTATTGAGATTTCCTATTTCTCTCTCCATCATTCGTTAAAGAGCATTCAAAGTTTTTCCTCCAGCCAACCCTCGAGATTCGCAAAGTCATGAAGCTGTTAGCAAACCCACGCTTCTGTCACACGCGCCTTTGCTGGGGGGGGGGTGAGGAGGCTCCTGCGCCGATCAAAATTTTTTCTCTTGGGTAGATTTTTTGCTGGATCGTCCCACAATATTGGGCCTTGGAGGAATGGGCAATAAGGCAAGCAATTTTTGGCCAAATTTGCTTCCCTTAGGGGGGCTTTATGTTGGACCGATTTTAACAAATCCGGTCCACATGAGTTGGGCCGACCGCAGCAAAGTAATGTTGGTCAGCCCACAAGGAATTGCCAGTTCAGAGCCAAGGCATCAATGGGCAAGTTGAATTGGAAAAGGATTCATCGGCACAGAAGTCCTTGTCGGAGAAGGATTCCCATCGCATCAGAAGTCCTTATAGCATTCAACTTTGGTTACATTCCAACTAGGGTTAGCGGATGGTCTATAAAAAGCTATAAAGAAGAGACGACAGACACACACAATTCATCATACAGAATCGACACTTTAGTTTTTATTATAGCTTTTTCGCCATGTATTCTATTTCAATCTTTCTTACATTTTCTTTATATTTTGTATTGATTATTGTAAGCTTTCTACGTTTCTGGCTATTCACGGCCGATTCGTTTCTATCAAATCGATAAAGCTGGTCTTTATTGGCCGTTTTATTCATCTTTTCAGAATTCCTCATTATTTCGTTAACAAATGCTTACGCAGTCGTTTGAAATTAGTTTGAGCCGAGTCGGTCTTCACTATCAAATACAATTTTGACTCAAACACTAACAATACAGAAGGATATCCCAAACATCTACCAGAGTTTGTACAGCTCAACCCTGAATTTAAGGGATAAAAACCAGAGTTTTCACTGTAAAGTCCACTATTACAAAATGTATGACTTGAATCGAGTGGGAAGAGTTCAGAATCACTTGTGAAACAGAAGGACAACCACAAATTTGCAACATTCTTTATACGACTGAATGTGAGCTTTTGATAAAAATCTTGAGCCCCTCAATGTCTTCCTCCTCAATCCTCCTTACTGAGTCTTCGACAGATTTTCTGCATTGATGAACTTCAATTATCTGTAATGTTGAGATACTGGCAATGTCAAGAGGGATCTCCTCAAGCTGCTCGCATTTTCGCACAATGAGCTGCTGAAGCCGGGAAAAATGATCACCAGAGGCATTCCAATGGACAATGTTTAGTGTGTCCAATTTCAAGCACTTAAGGTTCAGAAAGTGCTCTTCTTCCGTGGTCCAACTTGGCCCTTCAAATGTTTTCGATTTTAATTTGAGGACCTCCAGATTAGGTAATCTCCCAATCACTGAGATATGACTCCAGGGCAGCTGGAAGTTTGACAATGTTAACTTCTTTATACTGGAAGGGAAGTTCAATTCACCAGCCTTTAGAACCTTGCCATAGTAAGATATATTCAGCGACTCCAACTTACACAGTGACTCGAACGCAAAAAATGGAGAGGAATCCGTGGAAGCATTTATCGGTTTGACAACAATGCAACTCAAATTTTGAAGATTGGGAAAGCTCAGTATCATCTCATCAGTTACCTCCCCACATGTAAAACATGGAAAAGAAAGAGATACCAAGCTATGCATTTCATCTTTCATCTTCTCCCAAGTGAAGATAGCACAATTGGTTACATATATATATGCCTCAGGTTCCTCATCCTCCACAAGGTCTCTGGTAACACAACTTTAACGTTTATACTGATGGATCAATCAAGAATGCAAAGCGGTACATGAGTCAAAGATCAATGGGTTGGTCAAACTCCGCCCGTGTATCAATTTGTCCAATCGGGTCAGTTAACAAAAATAGAACAAGAACATAATATAAGCACAACACGTGGACTGGCTCTGATATGATGTCATAATAATAGAGATTTTGTATTCATTCATGTGTTGTCATGTACAATATACAAGATACAGTTGTTAGATTTAAAATATTCCCCAATTAACGTTCATCATTATCCATGAATGTTAGTTGTGATGTGACAAGTGGTAGTATTTTGCTGTACCAAGTGAATTGTTTTCCCTACTGGTAACCTGGGAGCCACCATGTCTCAAGAGTGGGTTCAGTTTGATGAGGTTATCGACCTGACCCAGGATTGCATTTCCCGGGAAGTATCTGTCCGGAGTATTGAAACAAGTACAGCTGACGAGATTGAGACTGTATTCATGGATTTGAGATTTCTGTGCACATTCATCGGCTACTTTGACCTCTGGCGCCGTCATGCGCCGTCGTCATCATTCTTCCTTGTTGATCAGATGGATTGGGTGTTTGAAGAAGCTAAAGCTGTTGCAAAAGAAATACAAAATCATCTTCAGCATGCTGTAATTGAAAGATTCGATGATGGTGGTCCTCATCTACAAGCCAAGTTTTGGAAATATCTACATAACAAGTTGAATTCCCTATTGGTTAAGTTGGAGATTAATCCTAAGGATGTCTCTCTGACTTTGGACTGCCAATTGGTTCGCTGTGTCAACCCTTTGAAGGAAAAGATTGCAGCTTTGAGGCCACGAATCAGCTGTGTTTATCAAGGATTATCTTTGTACCACCTTCAGCCTGAAGAAACCACATCCAATTATGACTGGAACTTTTTCCGGTTAAGGCTACAGATGAATATCGAAGATTTGAAGTACATGGCTGAAGATGCTGATTCCGCGTGCAAAGCCTTGACACGGAGTCTGAATTCCATGGATTGGCTTCTCACAACAACAAGTTGCAGTGGCAATTATTACCGATGCTGGTCTCCTTGGAAGGAGAAGATGATGACCCATCAGTTTGTAAGTATGATCCTCCATGTTGCTCATTTTTATTGTCTTTGTTGGTTGAATCCATCAGATTTTTCATACACATGTGTCTGCTTGGAGAGTTTGCACAATGAAATGGTTATACCAACTCCAGAGTTCCTTGACATAATTCTTGGATCCTTAACACAATGTGACAATCAGAAAAGATTTCTATCGTCTTTTGTTGATTATATTGTTGGTATCAAAGCATCATTTCAATTTCTTCGTGAAGAATTGTTCTCATTATTTACCTGCTTTATCAAAATCTCGGAGTTGAAGACTATGGAGGAGGATGTGCATAAGATTCTGTTAGTTGGTATTAGAGATATTATTGTGGAGGCTGGACCTCTAAAATCTAAGAAGACAAGAGCAGGTAGAACTCACTATGCAATTTTGTTGGCTAAGATTTGGTTTCTTAAGGCTGAGTTTTTCATCAAAAGTAGCGGTATTGCCCTCGCGCTTTCAAAGGACAACCATGTCCAGTCCCTATGCGAAGGGTGTAGATTTCTCCAGCAAGTGCCTACCTGTTTTCAGCGGCAAAGGGAGTCTCCAATTTTTAAGGTCATTGAAGGAGTTCCTGATCAGGTGAATTCTCTATATCAGCTTTCTCCTGGAGAGATGGAGGACAATTTGGTGCATGTCAAGGTTAGCATTTTCCTTTTAAAGTGTCTTGTACTCATGATGCTAATAAAAGCAAATGCACTTTTGTTGGATTCATTGGAGGGGGATGCAAGTCTTCAGATGCTCTGGCTTCCCTTGAAGGACAGATTTAAAACTCTTCAAAGTGGACTCCTTTTCTTGATAGAAGTAGTGTCTAAGAAGATTGTGGAGAATATCGAGGATGAGAAGCCGATGTTGACAGATATTAAAGCAGTGGCTACGGGAGTAATAACTATCTGTAACACATTTCCTCTTGATGACAATATCACAGATGGATAGGTCAAGGATATGGATGTTCGGGTTATTGATCTGTTGGAGAAAGTGGAAAATTTGAAGTTAAAACTTGGAGGGTTCTTCCAAATTCCAAAGTTTAATGTCCCCAAGACTCCTGGTTTTTGCTTCATTGATTTTCTATTACAAAATTCTAGAGCCATGCTTAACCGTAATCGAGAATCCATAGCATATGCAACTCATCACATTGAAGCCATTTGCACGGAATTGAATTTCATAATATCTACATTCCCTGATGTTTTTTAGCACAGCATCGAGAAACATGAAGGTGATGATATTCATATGCGGCTTGTAGACACGGCGTATCAGACGGACCATGCCATCAGCTCAGTGTTGAATGAAAGTAAGGATGGGTGGCAGAACTTTTTATGGCTGGATTATTTGTTGGGAGAGATTAGGCACATTAAGATGCAACTTGCAGATTCTGATGGGAACAACACTTACTGTGATGGAGTTCATGATGTAGTGCGTGATTTGTGCCTGTTGAGAGCTGCAGATGCCAATTTTTTAAAGCCAATATCAATTGATGATGAACCATATTCTTCTTTTAATAGTATAGACCATAATTTTCCACTTGAGCTTTTAATCACTTCAAATGAGAGAACGTATGAGGAGAATCGACTTTGTTTTCGTGTAAATCGAGAACATTTTGTTGTATCAAGGCCCTCTGGTCCATTTGTCAGGTCTCTATTATTCTTTCCGACTGCTGATATGTACCCAAGGCGCCCCTATGATCTCTCATTCATTCCTATCAACTTTAGAAGTCTTAGAGTCTTGGATTTGGAATCCATTAATATGGGAGCTTCCTTTGCTGATGGGATACAACCGCTGGTTGATTTAAGGTATTTAGCTGTTTGTGGTGATATGGAGTCTGTCCCATCATCTTTATCCAATCTAGAGAATTTAGAAACTTTACTTGTGAAGAGTCTCAAGAGTAAGGTGATGTTACCAGAAACCATATGGAGCATGAGGAAGCTGAGACATATATGTGTAACTAACTGTGCTGTCTTCACTTGGGGCTTGATCAAAGATGAGATGCATAGCTTGGTATCACTTTCATTTCCATGTTTCACCTGCGGGAAGGTAACCGATGAGATGATAATGAGGTTCCCCAATCTTCGAAAGTTGAGGTGCATTGTATTGAAACCTAGAGATATTTCTGTAGGTTTCTTTCCCTTTCCTTCATTCCGGTCACTATGCAAGTTGGAGTCACTGAATATATCATACTATGGTCAGGTTCTAAATGCTGTTGAATTGAACTTCCCTTCCAGTGTAAAGAAGTTGACATTATCAAACTTCCGCCTGCCCCGGAGTCATATTTCATTGATTGGGAGATTGCCTAAGCTGGAGGTCCTCAAATTAAAATCTAAAGCATTCGAATTTGAAGGTTCAAGTTGGACCATGGAAGAAGGGGAGTTTCTCAATCTTAAATACTTAAAATTAGACACATTAGACATTGTCCTTTGGGATGCCTCCTCTGACAACTTGCCCAGGCTTCAGCAGCTCATTGTGCGAAAGTGCATGCAGCTGGAGGAGATTCCTTTTGATTTTGTCAATATCTCAACATTGGTGAAAATTGAAGTTCAACAATGTGGGATGTCTGTTGAAGAGTCGGTAAAAAGGATCGGAGAGGAAGAAATTGAGGGGCTCCAAATTGTTATCAATAACTCACATTCAGGCCTACAAGGTTGAAATTTGTAAACGTAAGTATGCTGAACAAGTCAGTGATCCTTCCTGTTGATTGAGCTACTCATACAAATAATTCATATGTAGTTTATGATTAAAATGTGAGAGCATATATTAGAGAAAAAGTATGATAATTGTTCGATTTAAGTGTTGTGCCTTAGAAAAGTTGTCTTATTTTTTTTATTTTATTTTTTTTGAAAATGTTGACCTTCATTTAAATTGCTCTCCTATCATAAGTTTGATCCCTGAAGTCAGAATTGAATTTTGATGCAACAGTTCAGGGCAGAGTAAAGGTTTGCTTCAGAGTGGCTTCCATAATCTGTGCTTTTTACTGGGCTTGAGCAACATGAGAGAGAGCACAAAAATAAAATGGAGGTCGAAATTTCTTGCAAGGTAAGGACGCTTTCTTTTACTAGAAACTCTGTGAGTTTCGGACAGTTTTTAGTTCCGACCACGGTGTATTAGAAAATTTTTTGGTGGCTCTGAATGTCAACGATTGTGCAGAATCTTGTTAAGCTCCCGGGTAAATTCGATCCATTGTGTTTGTAATTCCTCGTGTGTTTTAGATGTTTATGTTATTTAACATCTTTTTGATAGTCCGGGTCAAGGTTCTGAGTTCTTGGTTTTCTTCGTTTAACAATTTTTCTGGTCTGATGGATTGAAAATGCTGAAGATTCTGTACAAAGGGTGGTGTTTGTAGGGAATTCACTAGATAGGAGCATCGGGTGTCTAACCTATGATTTGAAATCTTTATTAGGTAATGATTCCATCAACAATAATTGGAATGAAGTTTCTGCCCAATAATGCAGGATTGATGGATTCTCTTCTGTCAAATAGTTGGCCTCTTGGGCATTCAAATAGGCTTAACTCGGGGATTCATATAAGTTTCAGTCATCTCCTACTATTGTCCCATTCTGCTGCTCTTGCAATTATGGTATGGCCTTTTACGTACCATGAGGTATCTATCATTTTTTCCCTTTCCCTGATTCTCCGTGTTTCAGTATATACATTCCCATGATATTTTTATTCTAGCTTAGGATTGCCTCTTACTATAGGCAATTTGCAAGGTGGACTCGCTTGATAGGAAATCATTTTCTTCAGATAAATTGGTCTAAGAGACTGCACCGGTATACGGTTTGATCTGACTTCATAATTTTTAGAATCTTTTTTATTGATCTTTTTACCCTAGAAAACCAGTTACCTGAATTTGTTTGCCGCTTTTGAATCTGATACATGGTTTTTCTTTAAATTTTTTTTATAGTTGTTGTATGCAGATGAATGCCTGGAAAAACATATGGAGTTGATGAACGGGCAATCAAGGTGAAATTCCGAGAATAATTTAGTTACATGGTTAATTGTACTGCGTTAATCAAAGACAAGACAAGGTTTCTTATTGAACTTTAGTAGATGTTGCTGCCTAGATATTAAGTTTAATTTGCTTGCATTGCATGGTGGAATCTGAACTTAAACCAGCATCGATCGAACACTGTAATAAATTTTTGTTAAATGGGCCCTGCTGTTTTTCCCTGCGACTAATTGGTTTTTTAAGCTGGAATGCTTTTCCCTGTGACAATTTTGTGTTTTAAACTGGAATACTGTTTAAAATTGGTGCGTAGCAAAGCCATTAAAATGTGGTTTTTCATCATCATTTGTTTTCAGGTAAGACAAAGTCTAGTAAATTTCCCTGACTTAAATAGTTGTCCCTTAATGTGGAGTAAGTCAGGTGTTGGTGATGGGAGAACAGAAATCATGGATCTTTTAGGCTTCCTGTAACAATGATTTCGGAACAACATTTTGCCAAAGGAGGGAACAAAAGGGGACAGATTCCATAATAGGTTGCATCAGGTTCAATCTTAGCTGCCGAGGGATAAGATGGTGAAGGGTTGCTGTGGATTGCTATTATAGACTTGGCTGAATATATTGCTGTTCGGAAGTTCTTGCATTAATTGAAAGCAGAAATGTGGGAATGCCTCGCAGCTGGTCATTTATTTGAGGATTCGGTCAGTTTAGAAGAGTCGAATGAAGTCTATAGAAGCACTTGGACAGAAATAGTGTGGATTCATTGTTCTTAGGAGTTATATGAAACTGAAGGGTAAAGGACGATTCACCCAGACTGCAAAATTATATGTGGATCAATAAACAAGGTTTGTTATCTTTGCATTTGCCACAATTGCAGTATGGAAAGCTGCGAAAACAAAATTTCCCGTACCATATCCTTTAGTATGATTAAGAGTAGAGTCTTTTATTATGTACTTATTTATTATGTTTACAAATGGAATCTGAACAGGGAACTTCGTGGTCATTGATGGGAGGGAGGATGTCGGGGGTGTGTAGTTGTACAAACGCTCTTCCATGGTCAAGCTAGTCTGCTGAAAACAGAATCACATTTCTGATGAAGATAATACCAGTTTGGATGCGTTGTTAAAGATGGTTGGTTCAACTAAAATAAGTAATTTTCTGCCAAGTCTTAAAAATCCTGTTTTTCTTTTTATTCTTCTGTGTAAACTAGTGTAGTTAGTATTCTACAAAATGTTTTCCTTTGTTCTACACAAAAGTTCGCAGCGCCTTTTACAAGTTCGTAACTGAATGCAACACATGCTTGGGTGTTCGAAAATGTTCAATTTCCAGTCTAGGGTTTTATCGTGATTTCCATCATTTCTAACCACAATGGATTCATAAGAACCATCAAATTCAATATGCATGAAAGAGAGGCAAGATAGACAACACCAACACTGGATGTTCAGGAAAATTTTGGTGCCCCGGAATGCGGAGAGCAGATTGCAAAGAAAATGTGCATTCTTATTCGCCTGCTCATGATCTGGCAAAATATTTTTGGCTCTATCAATCCTCCCATTACAAAGATGCTTGACCGTAAAAAAAAAAAAAAAACAAAAAACACAAAACAAAACAAAAACATCAAGGCACTCAAGGCTAAAAGCTATTTCATTGATCTTCAATAGAAGTTGAAATTGTACGGTTTATGTTACAAATGTTTCAGTGTTTATAAACTATGGATAAAAACTCAGGTTCTCAAGGCTAAAAGCTATCCTGGTAGTAGCAATGCAAACGTACTGGTGACCCAGTGATTTTATTCCTCTTGAGAAGACCATTATTTAGTCCTCGAGCTTCTACTTGCATCTTTGATACCTTTCAAATTAGGAAGAACGTTTCTCATGGATACTCTTTCACCAGGAGAATCAACAGTGCAAGATAAGCCAATTTTCAGGACTTGAGTCAAACAATCATAATGTTTTTGTAGGTCATCAACAAATTTACCATCTTGGTTTTCCAGATCTCTATCAAGATTCACAATGAGTTCTTGATCCACCACATTCTGGATATTGGCAGGGAAATTCATTTGTACCCATTTTCTCAAGCTTAATCCTCCTGTGAAACTCTCATGTCTTGGACTCCTGCCAGTGAAGAGTTCAAGAAGCACAATTCCGAAGCTGTAGACATCTCCTTCTGTTGATGGCTTCTCTCCAAAACCATATTCTGCAAATAAAATTTTTTAGTTCAAGATTCAAACTAGTATATTCAAGAATGAAATAATTATGAAAGCGGGATGCTTCCATAAAAGGGTAGGAAGTGTCACCTGGAGGAATGTAGCCTATAGAACCCTTCAGTGTATGTGTAGAGCTGATTGAAGCTTGATCACCATTATTCTTCATCAACAATCTTGCCAGTCCAAAATCACCGAGTTTTGCTGTCATGTCTGAGTCGATGAGGATATTGCTAGGTTTTAAATCGCAATGCACAATTGGAGTGGCGCATTCATGATGAAGGTAATCAATGGCTGAGGCGACATCAACCGCTACATTCAATCGGTCCAGAAGATTCAGCCCTTCAGCGTTTGGAGTCCTCCGCGTCCCAGATATCCAATCGTCCAAGCTTCCATTACTCATGAGCTCAAAGATCAGAGCTAGGAATTCTTGCTTGTTGAAGTCCATGCTGGAGCAAGTGGTGATAAGTTTGATCAGATTCCTATGCCTCACATTCCTCAGAGTTGAACATTAGGACAGAAAGCTCTTTTGAGATCCGGTTGTCTCTTTGCATATGACCTTAATAGCTATTTCCATCCCATCCCTCAATAGTCCCCTGTAAACGGATCCAAAGCTGCCAATCCCAATGAGGTTTCCTCTGTCGAAATCATTAGTGGCGAGGCGGAGCTCATCGTATGAAACCATCTTATACTGCTTCCCAAAGGATTCAGAGATCACTTGTACTTTTGCTCTGCCTTTTCGGAAGTATAATACTAGCAAAGTAATGGTTGGAAAGGCTGCTAAGATTGCTGAGATTAAAGCGTACAACAAGATTACTCGTGTTCGAAGGATACCCTTATCCTTGCAAGTCTCTTGCAGGCAAAGGTTTCTGTTTCCTTCCAAATGAACTTTAGACGGATCAGCAAACACTCCTGTTGAGGGAATTCCTCCTTCCAAGTTGTTGAAAGAAAGATTCAAGAACTGAAGTGCCTGCAAATTTTGAAGATCAAATGGAATAGTACCAGAGAGCTGATTTGAGGAAAGATCAAGACTTTCCAATCCTTTGACATGCTCTAAACTCTTTGGGATCTGGCCAGAAAGCGAATTTCCGGCCAGTAATAGATTATGCAAGTTGTTGCATTTTCCGATTGATTTGGGGATATCACCTGATAGTTGATTGTCTGATATGTCGATGGTAACCACATCTTGTAGGAGCCCAATTTCTTGTGGCAATTCACCAGTGAGAGAATTCTTAGAAAGATTCAGGAAAGTGCCTAAACTGCGCAGCTGAAAGATTTCTGGTGGGATGCTTCCATTGAGCTTATTGTTAGACAAGTCTAATGAGAAGAGATTTTGGAAACCTTTAAAAGTTTTTGGAATGCCCCCTTCCAAATGATTTCTTGATAAATCCATCTTGCTTAACTTAAAGAGATTTCCGAGGCAATTTGGAATCATTCCAGAAAGAAGGTTTCCAGCCAATTCCAGAACCTGAAGCCCTTCCAAGTTGCCTATTTCAGGAGGGATTTCTCCTGAAATTGCATTATCACTCAGGCCTAAAAATATCAACCCACTAAGCTGACCAATTGAGGAAGGTATACGACCATAAACACGATTTCCGCCCATGTAAAATTTTTCAAGCAAGGTAGAAAAGTTGCCTGTGGACTCTGGAATTTCACCCTCCAAGAGGTTGTTATTAATACCAACATAGGTTAGACGGGAGCTATTTGTCAAGAACTCCAGAAAATCAAAACCATTCCTCCCAGAACTGACAATATTGTTGTGACCAATGTTATACATCTCAAGATCAGGGAGATTGCCCAATCCAGGAGGAACATTTCCATGCAACTGATTATATGATATCCGAATTATTTTTATCTTGGTGAGATTGTGCAAAGATCCAGGGATTCTACCAGTGAACTCATTGAAACAAACAAGAAATGCTACAAGATTCGGACTTGTTACTCCCACATCATATGGAAGCTCACCCTGTAAATTATTTGATGCCAAAACTAAATACTCCAGTGAAGAAATGTTGTATACGGATGCAGGAACCATACCAGTGAAATTGTTAACTCTGAGATCAAGAACTTGTAAATTTCGAAGGTTGGACCAGTCGGCCGGTATCCCTCCACCGAGGAAATTTGTACCCAAATTCAAGGTAACCAGAGTTGAAATGTTGAGTACAGAAGATGGAAATGGCCCGGAGAGACGATTTTTCGCCAAGTTCAATACTTGAAGCTGTTTCAACTCCCTCAAACCTTCAGGGATTTCCCCTGTTATTTGATTCTGTATCATATCAATGGCCCTGAGCTCTTTGCATTGGCTAATATTGCCTGGAATACCACCAGTCAGGCTGTTGAAGCTCACATTCAGCATTTGTAGCCTGAAAAGTTTGCCAATTTGATCAGGGAGATTTCCCGTCAACTGGTTATTTTGCAGCTGAAGTGATCTAAGGAAAGACAGGTTTCCAATAAAAGGGCTAATGAAGCCAGATAGCTTGAGGCCTGAAAGATCAAGCCCGGTGACTCTTACGGCATTTCGGCCGCAGACAATTTTAGTCCACTTACAAGGAGACAATGAAGAGTTCTGATTCCAATCAGACAAAGATGGATTGGAAGGGTCAATATCAAACTGAGATTTCAGGGAGATCAATGCCTCTTTGTCTGTGTTCAGACTCTGGGTTGGGGCTGAATTTGAGCGGTAAAAGCTCAGAATCAAAATGGAAAATTGCAGCATTACAAGGATATGATATGAAGCCATAGTTTCAGAAATGATGGAATAGAAGGATAAAGTTTTGAAGGGTGACGAAGGATGATGATAATTCAGCGCATTGAAGCGCAGCATTCATTGGTGTAGGGGAAAATAGTGCTAGCAACTAGCCAGTAGGCTCCGCCATGTGATTAAATTTTTTTTCTTTTGGGGGTTTAAATGTTTGAATGTGTCGTTTATTTTGAGTGGAAAGTCAATGTTAGGAGTACCCCTTCCAAGTCCCAATTTATTGTTCCAAGTTCATTTCTACTGGCCTCCTTTGTTTCTTCATCAAATACTACAAAATTTGGTATCCGTAAAGGGTAGGATGAGCCTCTTTTATTTCATAAAAAAAGCAAATGAAAGTTTAATTTTTCTTAATCGATAATAATGTGAGCCAGATATACTAATAAGAATTAAATTTCCTTTGTTGTGAAAAAATTGCTTCGTTTGAACTAAGTTTGTATCAGAAGGAAAAATTTTGTGTGTATATATATATATATTTGTGTGTGTGTGTGGGGGAGGAAGAATTAGTTTGATTCATACTTATTCTTCAAGAGAGGAATTCATTTTTGCCATTCCTAGCGCGTTTTAATACCATGGATTAATAGAAGGGATTAAGGGATCATGGAACCCCGGAGTATAATGTGGTCTTCCATAGTTAAGAACCACATTGTTAGTACACATGTCGTCTTTCTGTAGCACCTTTAAGATTAGTTTGTGAGTGAGAGGAGCATGGCATGATTTATATATTTGACATACTTGACATACCTCACACACACGAGTTCTAATATAAATAGTACTCCTTTCGTCCCATAGTTTGAGTTTTCATTTCTAATTTAAATTGTACTAAAAGTGAAATCTCAAACTGAATAATAATTTTGGGAGAGCGGAAGTAGTATTTGTATTCTAATAAACAAGTGGCTTGACACGTCCACGTAATTGACAAAAACATAGTTATGTGCATGGGATCCGTAGAAGTACTTTATATTTATTGTGCACCAAAACCAATAGTGTCTCTTCACCCACTCAAGGAACAAAACTCAGCAATTTTGGTTAGTAACTAGTCAAATGGATCCTTTCCCAGTTGACCAAAAAAATGAAAAATCGCTACCAAGAATGAAATCATGCTTCCAGGAACGCGAGAAATACAAATTTCGTTTTCTCACTATTTAATTAAGTTGTGGCATATATGTACATAATTTGTGTGAGTCGTCATCGTCGTTTTCCTTAGAAAAATCTAATCGAACTGGTTTTTTCAAGTTTCAGGGGAAAGACTAGCTAAGTTTTAATTTAGGGACATCATTACTTGCTGAACAAATAGTTTGGACACCGAGAAAATAATAACAAGCACAAATTACCTCTTAACAATGACAAAGCAGTCTCGAAAACTTGGTTCCAATGGCCATTGCTTTCGCATATACATATTTTTTATTTTTTTATTTTTTTACTTAAACCGAATAGCAAGACATAGTTTTTTTGTACTTCTTTTATTCTTTTTACTTTTGGCATGTATATCTTTTATGCGTTTATGAACTTATATATATGGAGAGCGATTTATAGAATTCCTGCAAAATAGGTACGACTCAAACTCGCTTTTTCTTTTTCCTGATATTTGCGAGCGAATGAGTCACTGTTGCATATGACACACACCATGTTATATGAAAACAAAATTATTTGATAAAACCTTTGAGAAGTTGCCCTACAACTTTGATTCCATCTATAGTTTTATAAAAATTTAAATTCTATGGCTTAAAAACTTTTCTATAAAGTTTATAAGTGTTATTTTTCTTTAATGCATTGACGAAGCGTGGATTCGCGCTGCCGGTTTAACAATGGAACTCCGGCTAAGGTTTCCTGCAAAACAGAGCTTCGGAGGTCTCTCGAGAGTAGACACTCTGATGCTTAAGTCAATAAAGAGTTATCGGAACAATTGAGTGTATAGTTTGTTAAGCTATATTTGCGTACCTGTACTGAGATGTGATCAACCTAATTTATAGGCATGAAAATTCCCGAGAAGTCTCCGAATCCTATAACGTACGGATGTAAGGTTCATCACCTAAATGAAAAGTTAAAGATGAGATCATTTTGTGTGAAGAATTATTATACTAACATCACCAATAGAAATATTCCCATATTGGTTCCATGATGGTGAAATCTTACCTTTATTCAGTTTCTATTGCGACTATGTATAAATCTGTCTAGAATCTGTTGAGGTTCAAACCTGAGAAGTAATTCAAACACTAGTTCTATTGCTTTAATGGACTAGACAAGACGACACTAAGAAGTCTACACTGAGAATTTATAGAAGTTGGAATTGTACATGTTTATGTTAATCAAAATGGATAAAAATTTAGGCACTAAAAGCTATCTTTGTTGTAGTAATGCAAACTTATTAGTGATCGAGTGATTTTACTTAAAATGCAAAAATCCGTCTTTAGTTAGTCCTCGAGCTTCCACTTGCTATCTGTGTTGTTAGGCTTGAGAAGTGCATCTTTGATACTTTTCATATTGGGAAGAACATTTCTCATGGATACTCTTTCATCAGAAGACTCAGCCGAACAAGCCAAGCCAATCCTCAGGATTCGAGTTAGACAATCATACTGTTTTTCTAGTTCATCAACAAATTTACCATCTTGGTTTTCCAGATCAATTTCAAGATTCCCAATGAGTTCTTGATCCACCACATCCTGGATATTGGCAGGGAAATTCATTTGTACCCATTTTCTCAAGCAAAGTCCTCCTGTAAAATTTTCATGTATTGGGCTCCTGCCAGTGAAGAGTTCAAGAAGCACGATTCCGAAGCTGTAGACATCTCCTTCTGTGGATGGTTTCTCTCCAAATCCATATTCTGCAGATAAAATATTTCTCGTGAACCAGATTAGTATATTCAAAAATGAGATTAATTTGAGAAACGGGATGATTTTGTAGAAGGGTAGGAAATATAACCTGGAGGTATGTAGCCTATAGAACCCTTCAGTGTATGTGCAGAGCTGATTGAAGCTGGATCACCATTATTCTTCATCAACAATCTTGCTAATCCAAAATCACCAACTTTTGCTGTCATGTCTGAGTCGATGAGGATATTGCTAGGCTTCAAATCGCAGTGCAAAATTGGAGTGCCGCATTCATGATGCAGATAATCAATGGCAGAGGCAACATCAATCGCTACATTTAACCGGTCCAGAAGATTCAGCCCTTCAGCGTTAGGTGTCCTTCGCTTCCCGGATATCCAATCGTCCAAGCTTCCATTACTCATGAACTCAAAGATCAGAGCTAGGAATTCTTGCTTGTTGAAGTCCATGCTGGAGCAAGTGGTGACAAGTTTGATCAGATTCCTGTGCCTCACATTCTTCAGAGCGGCACATTCGGATAGAAAGCTCTTTCGAGATCCGGCTACCTCATTGTTTATGACTTTAATAGCTACAGCCAGCCCATCTCTTAGTAATCCTTTGTAAACAGAACCAAAGCTTCCAACCCCAATGAGGTTTCCTCTGTCGAAATCATTAGTGGCGAGACGTAGCTCATCATAGGAAATCATCTTATACTGCTGCCTAAAGGATTCAGAGATCACTTGGATTTTCGCTTTTCCTTTTCTGAAGTACACTAGCAAAGCAATGGTTGAAAATGCTGCTAGTGTTGCCCCAATTATAACACACACCAAGATTAGGCGTGTTCGACGGGCATGCTTATTATAGCAAGTGTTTTTCAGACAAAGGTTTTTATTTCCTTCTAAATGAACTTTAGAAGGATCAGCAAACACCCCAGCAGAGGGGATTTTCCCTTCCAAATTATTGAAAGAAAGATTTAAGAAATGAAGTGCCTGCAAATTTTGAAGATCAAGTGGAACAACACCAGAGAGTTGATTTGATGAAAGGTCCAGATTTTCCAATCCTTTGACGTCTCCTAAACTCTCTGGGATCTGGCCAGAAAGCGAATTTTCGGACAATAACAGATTTTGCAAGCTCTTGCAGTTTCCAATTGACTTGGGGATATCACCTGATAATTTGTTCTCCGATATGTCAATTGTGACAACATCTTCCAGCAGCCCAATTTCTTCGGGCAAATTGCCAGTGAGAGAATTCTTAGAAAGATTCAGCAAATTGCTTAAACCGGGAAGCTGAAAGATTTCTGGAGGAATGCCTCCATTAAGCTTATTGTTAGATAAGTCCATTGAAAGCAGTCTTTGTAAGCCTTTGAAAGTGGTCGGAATGCTCCCCTGCAAATTGTTTCTTGATAAATCCATCCTGTTTAACTTCAGGAGCTTGCCAATTGAATCTGGGATCATTCCAGAAAGAAGATTTCCAGCCAATCCCAGAACCTGAAGCTGTTCCAACTTGCCTATTTCAGCCGGAATTCCCCCTGAAATCGAATCATTACTCATGTCTAACAATTCCAGGCCGCTAAGCTGGCCAATTGTGGATGGTATACCGCCATAAACACGATTTCCACCCATGTAAAATTTCTTAAGCACCTTGGAAAGATTACCAATGGAATCAGGAATTGGACCCTCCAAGAGATTGGAATCGATTGCCAGGAACGTTAAACGGGTGCTATTCATCAATGACTCCAGAAAATCGAAGCCATTCATCCCGGAACTTACTATCTTATTGTAACCAATGTTGTACATCTCAAGATCAGGGAGATTGCCTAATCCAGGAGGAACAGTTCCTTGTAACTGATTATGCGCCACCCGAATGATTTTAATCCTGGTGAGATTGTGCAAAGATCCAGGGAGTCTACCAGTGAACTTATTGATGCAGAAATTAAAGTTTAGAAGATTTGGAAGTGTGACTCCCACATTATATGGAAACTCGCCCCATAAATCGTTCGAAGCCAAAGCCAAATCCACCAGTGAAGACATGTTGTATATGGATGGGGGAACAAGACCGGTGAAATTATTTATGGTGAGATCAAGAACCTGTAAATTCCGTAGGTTGGACAATTCACCGGGTATTCCTCCACCGAGAAAGTTTGTACCCAAATTCAAGGTAACCAGAGTTGAAATGTTGAGTACAGAGGATGGAAATGACCCTGAGAGACGATTTCTCGCCAAGTTCAATACTTGAAGCTGTTTCAACTCCTTCAAATCTTCAGGGATTTCCCCTGTTATTTGATTCTGCATAAGATCAATGGCTGCGAGCTCTTTGCATTGGCTCAAATTGCCTGGAATACCAGCAGTGAGGCTGTTGAAGCTCACATTCAGCGATTGCAGGCTAACAAGTTTGCTAATTTGATCAGGGAGTCTTCCTGTCAGCTGGTTATTTTGCAGCTGAAGTGATCTAAGGAAAGACAGGTTCCCTATAAAAGGGCTAATGGAACCTGATAGCTTGAGGCCTGAAAGATCAAGCTCGGTTACTCTTTCGGCATTTCGGTTGCAGACAATTCTAGTCCAGCTGCAAGGAGACGATGAAGAGCTCTGATTCCAATCAGACAAAGATGGATGGAATGGGTCAATATTAAACTGAGATTTCAGTGAGATCAATGCCTCTTTGTCTGTGTCCAGACTCTGGGTTGTGGCTGAGTTTGAGTGGTAAAAGCTCAGAATCAAAAAGGAAAATTGGAGCATTACAAAGATACTATAGGAAGCCATAGTTTCAGAAACGATTGAATAGATGGAGGAAATTTTTGAAGGGTGAAAAGAGGAATGAAGGATGATGATGATAATTCCAGGTTCATGGAAGCGCAGTATTTATAGGAGTAGCAACTAGCAAGTACCAGTAGGGCCCGGGAGTTGTTATTAGTCTTTTTTTTTCTTCCTAATTATTTTTATTAATAATGATAATAATGTTTGAATTTTGACGTCCATTTTGAGTTGGAAAGTCACGATTATGATTTATGAGTCCAATCTCCTGTGTGCAACTTTTTACAGTATTATTTTTTAAAAAAACAATTTCCCTTTTCTAAGGCCTCACTCCAAATTTCTCCAGACTTATTCTACGTTTTTCTTTTCAAGGACGTTGGGCTCTCTTGTGCGCAACTTTACTTCTAGTCCTTTCGGAAACTTGTTTGATGTGAAATTGTTTCTAATCCTTTTGAAGTCTAGAAACTCATAATGTGATTGTCTAATTTGTATTTTCATTTTCAGTTCACATTATATTAAATATTAAAAATAAAAAATTTAAACAATTTTTTTTACTATATTTTAGAGAAATTCAAGGCAGTACCATTCCCTCCCCCCCTCCCCATTTTATTTATTTAAATATTAAAAATTACAAGGGACAGTGCTTAAGACTTATCAAAGCGAAAAAACCGCCTTATAAAAATTATCTAATAATTCTATGATGGTTCTAGTGCAAACTAGAGTTAAGAACTATCTTACAAAGATTTTCCTATAAATTCTTGACAATTTTTTTCTTGTAACTATCAATTATACTATGAGATTGTTTTATACTATGAATTATTTTCATGTCAAAAAAAAAAAAGAAATTTGAAAATAAACACAAGTTTAAAAATACTTATTATAAATTAGCTAATCCGCAAGTACGGAAAAGATGTCCTGTCTAAAAATAATTTATTTCGTATTGAAGTTAGGGGACTTGAATAATTCCCATACTGTAATGTGCTACCAACTGATCCTTTTTTTGCTAGGTCATCAACCACACTATTCATTTCTTTATAGATATGAATAATTTTTAAATTTGGTGATTGAAGCATTTTTTGTATTCAAAAAAAAAAAAAAATTATTTTAGAATGGAAGATATGTATTACTGTTCCACCCCGCTTAATGTATAGAACATTGAACTACTCCCAGTTTCATTGACTTAATGTACTAAATGACTCTTGAGTAATTCATGCTCACCCTCAAACAAAAATCAGTTGGAATAAGCCTGAACTCAGTTTGAGTTCGAACTTATCCGGAGCTAAAACTCAAGTGATATAGTACCGTAAAACCTTAAATCTACTACTCACCAATACCAAATTTATTGTTATATACTCATTACTTTGCTAAATTCCTACAGGTGCAAAGTATAAGAAGCTTAATAATTGTAGTACTTTATGTTCCTTACAGAAGTGCAGAAACTTTATGCCTGAAGACTAAATGACTTCACCGAGGCCAAATCCTAAAAGAGAAGATGAGACTTAATTCATACTTTCCATGTCCCAAAATAATTGTTCAATTTAAGATTTCATTTTAGTACATTTTGAACTGAAAATAAAAATTTAAACTGCTCAATAATTTTAGGACAGAAAAAGTACTACTTATGTTGAAATAATTCATACTTACTCTTCAAGAGAAGGATTCAATTTCTGCCGTTCCTTGCGCGTTTTAAATTTGATGATACTGATGATAAGTAAACGAAGTAGAAGCTTGAGAATTGAGAATTGAGTCCGGAGCCTTTATTTTCTGTTATCTTTTTAGTTTTAGTTAAGCTTCCAAAAAAAAAACATGAAATCATTAATCATCGGTTCCATAAGAAAATACTAGTTTAATTTGGTGAACAAATATAACATACAGTTCAGCAAAAATGTAGTATGAGGAAGATGAATTTAATTAAAAAGAAAATGTAATAATTGAAAAAAAAAAGAAAGAAATTAGTTAGCTAGGCTAGTTTGGTCGTTCGTACTTACGTATAGCCCGGCAAAAGCCATAAGTTTTACTTGGTCTAAGTTAGATTAATTGTGCCACTGCCCCATCATGCAAACTTGGAATTGGTCAATGGTCACTTTAATTTCTTCAGCAAGTAAGTAATCTCTAGTTCTGTTCCCAAATAAATCATTGACTGGTTTTCGATTGAGTTCCCTGTATACGTACATGTAAGTCTATTTTGCTACGTATTTAGTGGTTCGAAGGAAAAAGATGGTTAACTTGAGACTCTACCCAAAACTTACAGCCACTGAAATCTTCTCCTATAATGTCCCATTCGTCTCTGACCATGATTCTTCTTGGGAATTAATTCAAATTGCTTGCGAGGAAAATTTGGCAGTAAATTAGCGTGCATACAAAGTTGCAGATTTGCAGGGCTAACTATACATCCACACAATTGGATTCTCGCTTTGATATATTATATACAAGTGTCTAACCCGCACGTTGTGTGATCATTTCAAGATATATATGAGATTAACGATTGAACGGTGACAAATTTCCTCAATCTACCTATTTTGTAATTTCCTTTCCCCTTTTCTCTAGACTTTCTCCATTTCTATAATTTTTCTTCACTTGATTCCTAATGCTGAAATTAAACACCAATTAGTAGTGGTGACCGGTTGTGCAGAAAGTGAGTTTTTCTTTTTAATGTAATAGGATTTGAAGTGAAGAAAAATGAAAATGGAGAATAATGAGGATGATGGTCGGCAATGAAGTGAGAATTTTTTTTTTCTTCCTTTTAAGAAGGAATGGGAATGGATTTGGTGTTTTGAGAAAGGTGTGGGAATCAAATAGGTCTGGGAAAATTGGGTTTGAGATGGCCGAGAGGGAGTATTGTAATGATTTACAATGATTTTATGATTTTCAATGTATTTTTGTTTTTTTTTTTTTTGAAAGGTATTTGTATATTAATTATGAAGTATCTGACTTATTACATCGCATTCTATGGAATACTAAATTATGAACTTCTACAACATCTTGTCTACTCACTTTAATCAGTGAGCAAAACTGAAATAAGGAAATACTAGTTACTAACAAAGAAACTACCTCATGGGCCTCAGAAGGTATTAAAGCAGACCGTAAATCTCCAGTCAGAGTTTCACAGTCCGTATAAACTTGAAGTCGAGTGATCCTAAATGTAACGTCTCTTTCAATGCCAAGAGACAAGTCATTGCCTCGGCTTGAAAAGGAGAAAGCACACTTAGGTCCACCGCTTTGATTTGCATCACCATACCATGATGTGATAGTATCTTCCAAGCACCAGCCGCTTTGCGTGTTTGATGGCTAAACGATCCATCACAAATGACTAAGGACTCAGTCGGACCCCTCTGTGGTAGTGAAGATTGTATGTTGGGAGAAGGTCTTCCAACTATCAGTCTGCCAAGGCTTTTCTTGTGGAGAGTGACTTCATTTTGGATAAGTCTCCAAGATACCGCCGGATCATGAGATTGGTTTTTCCAAATTTTATCATTCCTTTCCAGCCAGATCCTCCAGCTGATGATTAGAAACAAATCAACCTCCTCTTTATCTAGATGAGACTAAGTCCACTGAATGAACCATTGATGTAAGGAGTCATATGTAGAATTGAATATCGAGCCAAACTAAGGAAAAGCCAAGGCCCAGATGGCCCGAGAGACTTCACACTTAAAGAACAAGTGTAAGCTATCCTCCTCCTGCCTACCACATCTGGGGCATAATGAGTCCACTTGAACTCCCCTTTTATTCTGACCGAATAGAAAGAGCATTGAGTATTGCTCTCCATAAGAGAAACTTGTGCTTAGGTTGAACTCTAGAATTCCATAGTCGTTTCCAAGCTAATTTCTCTGCATTCTGAGTTGTTGGACTTGGTACGGGTTGTGGCAGGAGGGCGTTGATGGCTAATTGATACCCAGATTTGACTGTGTAATTCCCATGGTCAGTAAGTATCCAATGAAGCTTATCCTCTTGATGTAGTCTTACCGGATCTATAAAGATCCCAGTAATGCGGGAGATAATATAATCTGGAAAGAAATTCCTAAGAGCTCGAATCTTCCATTGACCATTTGGATGAATAAAACGGTCCACAGTCAAGTTGGACATAGCTGAAATGGAATGAACTCCAATCGGATTCTGTGTATCAGGAATCCATTTTGCTGATATAGGGATATCCTTGCCTGAGATTACCTTCCATTTAGTATGATTCTGCAGAAGTTCAGCTCCCCACATGATGCTCTTGAAACCCCAGGAGGAAGTTTTGGGAGGTTGTACTGGAGGAAAAGTGCCATTGTTGCAATATTTGGCACGAAAAAGTCTAGCCAGGAGAGAGTGGGGTTGAGAGATTAACTTCCATGCATGTTTGGCTAAGAGTGCTTGGTTGAATTCTTTTATAGCTTTGAGACCCAAACCACCAAGAAATAGAGATTTTGTAATTTTCTTCCATGCTCTCTAATGAATTTTATGTTCCTGTTTATCTCCCTTCCAAATGAAATTATCCATAATCTGGTCAGCCTTATGTAAGGTGTGAGCAGGAAGCTTGAATACTCCCATTGGGTACACCAACATGGAGGATAAGGTGGATTTGGCCAATTCAACCAGAACTGCTCAAATTTTTTATGTCTCTTCTGAGAGTATTTTTGCTTAAGTTCCACAAGAATTGGGCCATGATCCGAGCTCATGATTGGAAGGTTCCGTACAACAGCCTTGTTAAAAGTGGTAAGCCATTGCTTGTTGACAAAAGCACGATCTAACCTTTCAAAAATTGCCTCATGCCCTTGTCTCTTGTTTGTCCATGTATACCAACAACCCAAATGCTTCAATTCCTCTAAGTCATTAGAAGACAGTAGCTTCCGTATGTTTCTTGTTTCTTGAGGCCTAACTGGACGCCCACCAAATTTATCCTCCTGATCTAAGAGTTGATTAAAATCCACTAACAAGATATTGGGGTAATTAAAGCCCTGGATGATCCCATTTAAATGTGACCAAAATACAGCCCTGTCTTGCTGCGAAGGGGGACCATACAGAAAAAT